TCTAAATCATATGGGCCCTTAACACAAAAGGATGCCCCTGGGTCTGAAATACAGCCCCGGATCAGCCTACGTTCCTCAAGCTTCTAACACCACAGTGGCAAAAAAAGTTCAAAGTTAAATTTCACCAAATTTATTTGACAAACAACCAAATACCTTAAATTTTTTTACACGGAAAATTTAGGTATCGCCCTAGAAGGCGGCCATAAATAGGCTCAATATCTTAGAAGCCCGTTAGGTTAAAAAAATTTTAATTGGCAGACCCCCCTAAGAATTCCCAATTCCAAATAAGATTCCAAAACCGGAACACTAGATTATGATCGATAAAGTAATAGGATCCAACCGAAATATGGGAAACTTTTTAGAGGAAATTTGGTCACTTTGGAGGGGAATATAAAAATACCACCAGAAAATAAAATTCCTAACATATTCCCTTTACAGCAAGCAATTCGTGAAGAACAATAATTCATCTAGCCAACTTGCATAATTTTATTACATTTCCAAGCAAGAATTATGAAGCCCCATGAAAAATTGGTTCTTGCTTCACAAAAAATTTTTAAAGCAGAAACGTTGGTGATTTTAGTACATGATACACCTGAATTATGGGGTGATAGAGATATAATTACTGGTGTTTTAGATCCATCAACTTCGGTATTGATTGATACTTCAATGAAATTTATCAAGTGGGCAGCTGATAGAAATTATTCGATTTTAGATATTAACATTCCAAAATCAAATTTGGAAAAGGAAACATTTTCATCTTCCAAAGCTGCTAATGAAATAATGTTATCATTATGGGATAATCACTTACAGTATATCAGTACTTTAACTAAAATTTGTTTTATTGGTATTGGAGAGTCATATCAAGGAATTGTCCATCTGATAGGTGAAAGGGATTTAAGAGTTTTATCAAAGGCTGTGATAAATTTTGTAGGAAATTTTCCACTGAAATCACTTTCATCAAATTTTGATGAAACAATGGTGGATTGGTATTTCAAAAACTCACTAGTATTCACAAATGATTCCCATAACTGTTGGAAAGAAAGTGAAGAAAAGAGACCAAGAAAGAAATTTGGAAGAGTGTTAAAGTCAGATTCTGATGGAATAATAAGTATAATTAATGAAAGATTTGATGAAGCTACTGATTTTATCTTAGATGCATTTGAAGAGTGGAGTGATGAAGAAAGTGATTGATTGGGTTTATTTTGGGGGATTATTATAGTTGAAATAACATTCTTCATTATATAGAATTAATTAATCGATCAATAAAAAGTTAATGAGTTTGTTTAATAATATAATATTAGGTAATTTTAATAAAAAATTAAATGTAAAAATGACAATTGTGCTGCTATATATGATTGTCGTATATAAATTTTAAGTGCAAAATTTACTCATCTATACGTCAAATTAAGATATGTTTGGGAAACGTTTATTGAATTCTTCTGTCAATGTTTCTAGATTAGGTTCCATAGATTCTGAACTTGTCTTGACATCAGACTTGTTTTTATCCAACTTCCTTTTGCCAGCTAAGAAAGTAGGTTTTGGCGGCTTTTGTGGTCTTAAATGTGCTGGTTTCTTGGCAGGTACTGGTTTCTCTTTCTTGTTCTTTTTCGGTTGATTTCTAGTCCCAGAATTTGCTGTTTTAATATTCTCCTTATCATTCATTTCTTCTCCCGAATCTTTACCGAAATTGTCAGAAGATTTGGTGTACTTCCCATAATCAGATGCTATTTTATTGATTGGAATATTGTCAGCGTTATCTATTAAATTCTTCATACGATCTTGAATAGAATTATTATCGGATTGGTTTGAATCGGAAGTAGTTAATGTACCTTCACCATTACCAATCTTAATTGAAGAGCTGAAATTAGATGGTAGACTATGATGTTTTGCCTTGCTGACCGGTATTGGTGAATCGGCCTCAAATTCTTTCGAAGTCTGGACTTTTTCAAGTTTTGTCAGATCGCCATCATTAACAATAATACTTCTATGAGATGAACCAGTACTTGATGATTGTGATAAATTTTGATTTTTCAGAGAACTGATTTTCTCACTGGCAATAGAAGCAATATTTTCAGCAAGACTACCGGTAGAATTGACTTCGCTTTTTGAGGTCTTATCAAATAATGTAGGATTAGAAGCAACAATCTTCGATATATCACCTCTTCCCGCTGATGTCGTCCTCCCGATATAGTCAGACATTTGATCATCAGGCATAGTCCTACTTCTTTGATTTGTGAGAATGTTTGCATTCTTATCTGTGGTCCCTATATGTATCTGTTGAAGTTTTGCCGTAGCTGCTACATTAAATGAGTTGTTCACAACTGCAGGATCATTGGAAGCATGAGCAGATAGCGGAACACCTGTTAATATAACATTATTTGGCGTTATATTTTGAGCATTATGCAAAGGTGAATTCAGGGATGGGAAGCTTAAGGATTGATGTAAACCACGAATTTGTTCCTGATGAATATGGAATTGTTGTTGGATTTGCTGTTGCTGTTGTTGGATTTGTTGTTGCTGTTGTTGTAGCTGCTGCTGCTGTTGTTGTTGATGATGATGATGATTATTCTGTTGTTGATGTGGCATCAAAGTTGATCTATGTATTGCTCTTTCCAAGTAAAAGTTCTTAATAGGACAAGGAATTCCTTGAAGTCTCGAAACTTCTTCAAGCACTTGACAAATGTTCGGTCTCTGTGAAGGTTGATTGGCGAGCATCAATCTGATTAAATTTTTCAAATTGTCGCTGTAATGAGGGTATGCTAGGTATTCGTACCTTGAATGTAGAATGGCGGCCTCACCAGCCTTTTCAAAAGGAGTTGTATAATAACATAGTTTATATAAGAATACCCCTAAGGCCCAAATATCTGATTTTTCATCAATAGGTAAATGACGTGATAAATCTATCATTTCTGGCGCCCTATATTGAGCGGTAGTGTTTTTAAGAATATCATGCTGTACAAAGTTAAATTCTTGTTGAGAAGTTGGAGGCCTTATAACCCCACAGACGGAACCAAAATCACATAATTTATATTCACCTGAATTTGAAATCAGTACATTTTCAATTTTTATATCTCTGTGTAATAATGGCGGTTCTAAAGAATGCATTGCGGCGACACCTTGAGTAACTTGGCTCATTATATTTAGGATTTCGAATTCTTGTAATCTATTTTGTAATCTTGTATTCATAAAATCTATTAATCCACCTTCTGCACAAAACTCCATTAACAATAGCACTTCATAAGCACCATTATGTAAACCTGATTTTGCAGCATTTGAATCTATGTAGGAAACGACATGATCAAAATTTCTCAAAAGTTTCATTGCGTCAACTTCAGCCCTTGGAGTATTTAAACTTGCTTTATCAGGCACAATTAATCTTTTAAGACAGACAATGTCGGAACCTGTTCTACTATCTGGTGGTGATATTTTAGCTTGGTAAACTTGGGCATAACCACCACTGGTTAAATATTTTAATATTGTTGCATGATGGACACCTACTTGTAAACTAATGCCTTGCGGATACGTTGGAATATCTGGTTGATTCATAATATATCAGAAAATGCAAAATAAATGAAACATAAAATTTATATTAGAAAGGAGGAAAATATTGGCTTGGTTAAAAACTATAATTAAAATTGAAATTAAGAATTTAGTTTTTAAGTAACTAATAATGCAATTGGGATGGTAATTACTGAAATAATTGAACCTTAACGATACTAACTACACCTTATCCTTTTCGAAGTGCTAGATCAAAGAAAGAAAAATCAATACTATTATTATAAGGGTGATAACAATTCAGCTTCGAAAAAAAAAATTAGGACTAATTTTTCTATTTTATGAATTGATGATTCAAGTCTTTGAATTCTAAAAATAACACCCTTCAGAAACTAGAGATCGACAGTCAACTGAACTTCAAATAGTTTCCTAAATGCAAATAAAACTTTAATAACTGATCAAATAGCACTGAAATATTCGAAATCGAAATTGTAATTCGATTTAAATGTCGCTTTCGAAAGTTCGAAATATCCAATTCTACCGAAACACAGGCAATACGTAATTATTAAAAAAAAAAGAAGAATAAGTCCACACAGAATTGTAAAGAACAGCACTATTTAATCCTTTAACGACAATAGTAATAGCAATGGTAAATGTGTTATATGATGTTATATAACTGGAGTCAACTTATTCTAAATAGTTTGATCTTGTAGTTTCTTAGGATCCGATAGTTATATGTATATAATTTGTATAAGATAACAATTAATTAACTAAATAATTGTATGATTATGAAGGAATTATGATGATAGTTGATCGGAATATAAAAAGTGACGTGGAATAAAACTGTTTTAACTAAATAGTAGATGGTTCAAGACTGTTTAAGATCGATATTATCTCAATTTTGTACTTAGTTCAAAAAATAAGAGCTAGATAAATATTCGAGATTTTTATTGAACAGAAGGAGTTTGTGTATAAAAGATTTCATGATTTAATCAAGAAATAAATGAAATCATCAATCATGGATGATTAGTATCTTGAGTTAGATAGAAATGGTATATAGTTTTAGTGTGAGCCACTTATTTTATTTCCCCAAAATTAGGTAGATGATGGTCAAAATTGGATATCTCAGAGAGTGTGATGTGAAATATAGTCAATATCTGAGTCCAGAAATGTGTTAATTCTTTCTCTTCTGAGTTGTATGTTTTTTTTGGTATATTAAATAAAGTTTTTATTGTCAAATACCAAGAGAAATTATAAATATTAGCCCCCCTCATCCCCCATCTCCTCCCTCCCCCTTCCCTTCCCTTTTCCTCTTACCCCCTCAGTGAACCACAGTTCTGGGCAAAATATAAGAGTACGAGTTTATACACTATAAGCTATGTAAGTACCACCACATCTAATCCTATTTTAAGTCTATTATCTACAATTTCTTGAACTTCATCAGTAATGCTTCGTTATTAAGGTAGTTGTATCAAAGATTACTTGGATTAGGCATTTAAAAAAAAAAGTAAGAACGTAAAGAATCCAAGGCAAGTTTACTCAAAGATAGCTCCATAATTGTCATCATTGATATAAAAAACCATCAGTTAATCTACTTAAGACTAAGCCTCCCCAGATTTATTTATCATCGTTGCTTTGGTAAGGTTATATAAAACACACTTGGCATTTCTGACGTATTTGGTTAAATCAAGAAACTATGTTTCCATAAATAGATTGTTAAATCATTGTAAAACTCTTGGATTTTCTGTCACCTCAACCTACCAAGTCGATGATTTGGAAGGTTGAAACCATGATAGAGAAGTGACTAGTGGGTACTAGTGTCGCTGTCATCATCGTTATTGTCATAGCGTAGTTCCAAAATTTGTATATATATCCTTTCATCGAAATATATTATATATTTCCTAATTAGGTAATAATTAGTTATGTTTTATCCTTTTATGGTGTTTTATTTCTGTTTTGAGTAATTTTGTATTATTATGCTTTTTCTTCTTTTACTGGCAGTTTTTATCCCAAATCTGGTAACATTTCAAAATTTCAATGAGATGAGATGAGATGAGATGAGATCATATTAGAACTTTAGAAGTTATCTAATGGCATCTGGAGAGATCTGGAAGGGGAACTAGTCTGATATCCAACACATTTTAAAGTTTTATTGATTTTGATATTTGTTACCAAAGGAGAAATAACGTGTAAACTTAAAACTTGAGTTACCCAATCCTTTGAACTTATTGATATAATTGTAAAGAAAAAAGTTTAGAACAAGACCACGAAACGAAATCTTGTGGAAGGGAAAATTATAAGAACAGTTGTGAAAGATATGAGTTCATATTCATTATTGCATTCCAATTCGCTTGGCAGAACTGATTGGTGTCTTGAGTTGCAACCTTTGTATAGACACGGTCTGTTATCTAGTCTAAGTAATGGTGATGTCAATTTATTAGACTGGAATACTGGCAATTGTATAAGAACTGTAAAAGCTGGGAACACTTCGATCAATAGAATGCGTGTATTGGATAGTGATTATGATAATGGCTCTGTTTTTTCTGTGGCAATGAATGATGCTGTTAAAGTACTTGATTTAAGGGTTCAAGGAAATTCAATTGTAGCAGAATTAAATAATGAAAAAAAAACACCATTCTTATCATTAGATTCTCGTCATGGTATGCTAGCCTGTGGTACAGAACTAAGTGGTGTGGATGCAGAAATTCATATTTATGATATTAGAAATTTTGATAAACCAGTGAGAATGCTAGTAGATTCTCATCATGATGATGTCACAGATATAAAATTCCACCCTAGCGATCCTAACGTTCTACTTAGTGGTTCTACTGATGGTTATACAAATGTATATGACTTGACCCAAGTTGAAGAAGAAGATGCATTACATCAGGTTATCAATTATGAATCTGTTCATTCTTGTGGTTGGTTATCTCCAAAGAGAATTTACACATTATCACATATGGAAACGTTCGCCATTCATGAATTGAATAACAAATCTGATGAATTAACAGAACCAAAACCGTTGGATTTTGGTGATATTAGAGGAACATGGGATTGTGACTATGTGGTTGACGTCTATCCAGGATATATTGCAGTAGGGAAATCAGAAGAAAATAATGGTAATTTAAAAATTATTCCATTTCATAATGAACTACTAAATATCAACGATTCGATTAGTATACCTAATGCACATGGTGATGAGGTTGTTCGAGATGTATTTATTTCTCCGAAATCTCAAAATATAATGTATTCATGTGGTGAAGACGGATCTGTCAAAACATGGAAAATAGAAAACAATTCATTACAAGTGCCTCCTGGATTCTGGGATTACTCTACCCAGATTAATGTGCTGGACGATAACATAGATGAACAAAATATAGAACAATCTACAAGAAATATATCAGAACCTTCAATAGAGAAAGAAAAGAAGAAAAGTAAACACAAGAAATCCAAGCACTCCAAGCGTCGTTACAAACCGTATTAGAAAATCAAATTATGACAAGGAATAATATTCATTTCTGAACTTCGTCTGGTGAGCAAAGTGTTATATTACCAAAATATATGGTGACGCCAGAAAATTTATCTCCTTCTCATTAGATAACAGATATGCATCCGCAATTATCTCTATGGAATAAAATAGAAAACTACAAGATCTGATAGTTTTATGGAATCTGATCTGGTCTGGATATATATATATAAAAATAAATTAATAGAATTGTAATTAACTTTAACGTCACAACCGCATCTCATTGCATCTCTTGATCTACACTTATTAGAAATACATGTCATTGTATACGTAATTATAATAATTTTCAATATTTTTCGATGTTTATTCAAATATGAAAACGAACGAAACAATCATATTTGAAATAAATCATAAATAATGGGATGTTATTAGAAATATGATAGGTAAACAACACTCCTTTGGAAAGGTTCAAGATCTATTTGTTTAATGAAAAAGTCTAATATATTTGTAATCCTAATCTAGTGTGTATAATTTATTTTTTTGCCTTATTGAGTATATTGTTATAGATAAACAAAGTGAAAGAAGAAATATTGGACTTTTGCAATTATAAATGAGTAGTGTTGTCAATAAAAGTGGTACTAGGTTCGTACCAAAGATAAGACAACGTCGTGTAGCTACGCCGACACCTTCAGTAACTCCTTCCATTGCTACCTCATCTCCAGCTATAGAAACTACAGTTGCTAGTGTTTCAGATCAAGACGCTGGTGATAAAAGTCAACAAACTGAAGTTGAAAATACTGAAAAGAAACTAAATAGTAAAAAAAATGATGATGGGAGTGCCATTAAGGATTCAGAAGAAGCTAAAATTACATTGGAAAGGAAAGAAAGCACAGATGAATCTCCAATCTCAGATTCTTCGAAAAACTCTTCTGCCAGCTCATCTTCATATAAAATAACGGGTCGCCGCCGATCTAGTAGATTGGATTCTCTAAGTATGTCATCCTCAAAGCCTGTTTTTAAACCTAACTTTAATGATAACAACAACGTTAATGTTCCAGGTAGTAGACGGTTATCGACTATTTCTGGATCTGGTATTAAGAAAATTAGGATAAACAGTATTACTGAAGATAATTCGAATTTACAAGATTTAAAAAAAAGGAGAATGTCATCTAGAAGTTCAGCATCGAAAAAAACAGGTTCAGCACATAGGATTAGTATTGTTACCGCCATGGAATCGGATGACAGTGGTTCAACCTCGACTAGTAATTCGGATATTAAAAATGACAAAGGAGATAGTTTATTCAGAAACACAGACAGTTTGTATGATAAGAAATTTCAAATTAGGAATGTCAAAGAAATACCGAAAAATATAGAAGATTTGGATTCAGCTCGTTATGTTCTCGATGAACATAATTTTACTATTGCCGAATTATGTAAACCAGTACTACCGATTGGTGAAATATCAGATAATTTCGAAAGAGCACAGCAAGCTGCAAAGGCTAAGATAACTAAGAGAAAGGAAAGAAGAGAATTAAGGAAACGTGCTCGTAGTGAATTTAAATCGTTATCTTCTCTGAATGATGAGGAAGATGAAAAAGAAAAAAACGAAAGAATTAGAAAGGCCGCCCAAAGTATATATGATACGGAAATTCCAGAAAACAAGCCAGGTCCAAATGCAATTCAATTAAAAATGAATAAAGAAGGTGTAATGGAAGTCGATGAGCTATCTACAGTGGTTGATAGACATAAAAATGCTAGTTACGAAAATTCACAAAAAGTCAGAGTTCAAGAGAACCCGTTTGAAAATTTATACAACTCAGCAACATACGGTAAGAATTCATACACTGATCCTTGGACCAATGAAGAATTAATAAAGTTTTATAAGGCATTATCCATGTGGGGTACCGACTTCAATTTAATATCTCAATTATTCCCATATAGAACAAGAAAACAAGTCAAATCCAAATTTATTAACGAAGAAAAAAGAAATCCTGTAATTATAGAACTTGCTTTGCGCTCAAGACTTCCGCCTGATTTCGATAGGTATTGTGCAGAAATTAAAAAGAATATTGGTACTTTATCAGAATTTAATGAGAAACTTGAAGAATTAAGAAACCAACATGAAGAACATTTGAAAGAAATTGAAGAAGCTAAATTGAACGCAAAGAATGAAGATTTGAAATCTGTGAAAAAAGAAGTAAATAAGAAGACTTCAGGTGGTTTAATGACTAATCAATTAAAATCTTACAGAAAATCTGAAATTGTTTTAGGCACCATTGATGATGTTAAAAAGCAAAAAATGGCACAAGAAGAAACTACTAGTGTATGAATCTAAATGCATATAATTAAAGAAATATATAAATCCAATCATAATTCTATATATTAATAATATATTCTGGTACGTTTTGAATCCAAACTATTATATATCTAGTTCTCTCCATTAGAAGTCTCTTAATTTAAATTTCATTTTATATGATACTGATGTAATTAAAATTCTGTGCATAACGCGATTACTTGGATTTATTTAAAAATCGAAGTGGTTTCATGGTACTATTACAATCAATTGTTGAAATATATCAATTGGAATGCTTTAGGATAAGTAATTGGATAGATCGTCAAATTGATAAATGGTGAAAGGTAGTGAAAAAACTAGTTCTTCTTTTCAAAGAAAGCAGGAGAAGAAATATATTCTTACCATTCAAGAATTAGCTAACAAAAAATGTATACGATTTACGGTAGAACCTACTGGATACGCTATTAAGACTATTAAGAATATATTTCTGATTATATTAATAGTTTATTTATCATTATATTATTCATTTCGGTATATAGATTTGGATGGTTATCTAAAATGGCTGTACTGTGCATTCGTGATATCAATTATTAATTTTAAAATACGAGCTCCAACTGTAAGTACCTTTACAGTTTTGAAAGATCATGGTGTACAAATTAGTAACATTTCAGGATGGAATTGTCTACCATTTTTCATAAACAAGCTGTGGTTTGTTGAATACGAATTTATACCAAGAAATGAAGTAGTTGATATTATAATTAATGAAGGCTTCCAACCAGGATTCCAAGTTGTCTTTTATTTGGCATTAATTGTAAAGAAGCAAGAGAAATTGAAATTAATATTTCCAGTATGTATTAGAAATCTATTATTTTTTTAAAATCAAAGATCTTTAGATCAAAGTTGGTGTCATTTTTAATTATCTTAATCATTATTATCAAATTTACTAACTCAAAACCTGCTCTTTTTTTATGGGTAAATATAATCAGAAATTGTGTCCTAAATTTGAAGATCAAAAGCAAATTTACAACCTCACTAAAGACTATTTAAAATAACTAAATTAGCTATAATACTACATCGATATGGTATCTCAAAAATCAAATGAAACATCATATGTATCAATTATAATTGTTACCTATTAATAACTTAAATATTCGATATGGCGCCTTGTTTTAAATTACGAGAAATCGATCGCGATGAGATGCCCAAAGTGAAAAAAAAAAGTTTTTGATATTTAAATGGTCACTTCTAAAGAAAGTTAAAAAGTAATGGTTTTGGTTTATTATAGAATAAAGGTGGCCTGGAATAACCGATAGCTTGCTTTAATAGTTGTAATATACAATGGGAAGGAAATTGAAGGGTAAGATTGGTTCCAAGAATCTTAAATCATCACTTTTAAGACATCAGCATAAAGAACAATTATTAAAGAAAAATAAAAACAAAATTGAAAATAAACAAAAACCTAAGATCCCAACGAAGGTTAAGCAGAATCAGCAACTACAAAAAGAAAATGAAGAAAAATATATTCCTTTTGGAAAGGAAGAAACTTTGCTCTTAATTGGTGAAGGTGATTTTTCATATGCTAGATCAATTATCGAACAAGAGTATATTTTACCAAAAAATTTAATTGTAACAAGTTATGATGCATCAATTCAAGAATTAAAATTGAAATACCCACATAGTTTTGAAGAAAACTACAAATTTTTAATAGAGAATGGGGTGCTGATTTTTTTCAGAATTGATGCAACAAATTTAATTAAAAGTTTCAAGATTTCCAAGAAAATGCCATGGAAAAAAATAATGATGAATTATGGTCATCCTGAGTTATCCAACAAGGTGGTACAAAATATAATGTTTAACTTTCCACATACAGGTAAGGGTGTCAAGGACATGGACAGAAATATCAGAGACCATCAAGAATTGATATACAAATATTTTTCTAATTGTAAGGACTTATTCTCTAATATTAACTCTACAATTATTAATTCTAGAAATAGTTATACCCAAGGTTATTCTTTGGATTCCAATGGCTCAAATGGAAGTGGATATGATAAACTGACTGAGGAGGGATTTGGTAAAATTATTTTATCAGTGTTTACTGGTGAACCATATGATCTATGGCAAGTTAGAACTTTAGCCAAGGACAATGGATTAAAAGTTGAGAGATCTAACAAATTTCAATGGGAAAATTATCCTGAGTATCATCACAGAAGAACAAATAGTGAACAAGATACTACAAAACGTGCTGAAGAAAGAGAAGCAAGAATATATGTATTCGAAAAATTTGTTAAAAATAAGAATTTGAGAAAATCTAAAAAGGGCAAAGATTCAGATAGTGATGATGAATAGATATTTTAGGTATTGTATAATATAGAATAATTAATAGGCTTCACTTGCTCGAACGGATTGGAATTAGCAATATTATTAAATATAGGTAATCTAAAAAATATATATCCGGGTAACAAGTTGAGAACTTCAGAAAATGGTATATTTTAGAGATTAATACTGTTCATTTAAATTGTCAACTATATAATGCAAACGGTTGTAAGATTTAAAAAGATCTTGTTTGGAAGTGCTCTAGATCAACTCAATTGGAGATTCACTAGTATCACAGTGTTCAGTTGTTAGTTTTTAAAAATGGTCAATCAGCAAAATTTATTACAAGTGTATAAGCAATTGATAAAGGCAATTGTCAAAAATGATAGAAGAAGTAAAATAATCCAAAGAGCGAATGAAATTAGCAAAGAGATATCATTGTTGAGTTATCAAAAGATCAATCTATTGAGACAACCTAGTAATGAAGATACTAAGGCTAAATTGTCTAAATTAAGAAGTGTTCAAGAAATTGATTCAAAAATTAACAAGCTAAAAGCAGAAGATCCAAAGTGTGATAAAAATATGCTTTATATTTCTAATAGCATGAAAACCGACATAAGAGAAGATATGAAAGCAATTTTGATAAAAGAAAATGATAGACAAATCAATCGCAAATTAAATAATTTCATTGACATAGCGGCTTTTTTAAATAATCAAAGAGAATATGATGAATTAATTGAAAGATATAACTTAGGATCAAGAGGTTTAACGCAAGATGAAGTAGTGAAGAGAACAGCTAATAAAGTTGGGTTAGATGTTCCACTATAGACTTCAACGATCAACCATTTGTGTGCGATTTTTTTCAACTTCGAAACACCATTCTTCAGTTATATTCTTTATATCCAATCAATCATTGTAAATATTTATCAGATAGAAAGTTAATTTAAATATTATATGTAATAAATTTTAAAATAGCATTGTGAAGTGAGTCTCCTTCGGCAATAATGAGAACAATCAAGTGAAGTCATTGTTTCAGATATTGTAACAAATACAAAAATAAAAACTTGAATCGATTCTGCAAAAAGCCATCTTGAGATCATTTCAATGACAATAAAGAGTTATTTGCGTCATAACGATGTTACAATGATAAGATCGAGATATGCTGAACAACTAAGATAATCGTGTAATGTTCTTACTAATATCTGATCATATGGAAACGGATTAAATCATATGATAAGGATCCAGGCGGATAAACTTTAAATATGAAATCGGAATAATTGTGTTATAATGAATCCGTATATCAATTAATCTCATGTGTATACCCATATTACCATAAAAATCAAAAGAACGGTAATAGTTTAAAACAATCTATAACAGCAAGAAAACTATACTTCGTAGTTTTAACGTTTGTTGGAATAACACCACTGACACGGCTCTATTTACTTTTGGAAATTATTGAAATAACCCATTCAACAAATATATCTTAGTTACTCATCTTAATATGTCTCATTTTTCTAACTTTCGTGAAGATATAATATCTTGATAGGAAACAGAGCTAACTAAAATAAGTAAATTAACCATAGCAATAATAATATCAATAATAAATCTCAATCCAAACAAATTCCTTATGAGTAGCTGTAATTTTTAAAAACATTTACTCTCTCTATCTTAAGTCTATTCCATTTCGGAATTTCAAGGCCGTTCCTTACAGAGCTAAGTTCCGGATAAACTTTGCAAATATTTAACCCTTGACGTCAACATGATGAAAAACCTATGTCACTCTGACCGCATTACTTCAAAATGTTGAAAATAGCAGATGAGATGATCCCATTAACGTTGGTGGACTAAACCTACTATTTTCGTTTGGTTACAGTTCTTTTTGTTAAGTACACCAAAAATAAATTATTTCAAATTTTCAAATTCATCGATTACGTTTGGTTGAGTATTTCTTTATTCTCCCAATCGATTGGATTACAATTTTGATAATTCAGTTCTCTCCTGCTTAGCATTGATGGTTGGATAGTCAAGGCAATCTTATTCGATCGATAATAAACTTACGAAGTATGTATGTAATGATGAGTTCAGGGAGAGAAATGGAAAGATCTCTCGCAAGGGGAAGATGGGAGAAGACGAGTAACAGATAGATAGGTTGATATAGAGGGTAAAATTAGACGAAATGGTTTTGATCTTTTTTATTGTATTATGCACAAGTCTTGTACTGTTAACATCTAATGTTAGTGGGTTTGTGATAATAAATTATTTGAATGTGTAAATTTTATTGAAATCATCCTATAACCTTTGTTTAATTCATTGTTACGAGTTGATAGAGAGAACAATGTATGAAATACTTTATCTTCTCCCTCTCTAGCTGCTGCTCTTGCACTATTTCCCGGTAACTTATAACTTTATTCGAAAGTAACAAAAATAAAGGATTTCTGAAAAAGTGGGAAACTCCAGCTAGAGTAAAGGTAAGTAAGGAACGTAAAAGAGGGTATACTACCCTCCTACTATTATATTTGAGTATTATGATATCTCTTGTGTTTTTTATGTTTTATTTAATGTATTTTTGGCTATGAATGTTAATTTGTTCAACGTATATTCATCATCGTGATAAATTTATTCCATCAGTTCACGTATATTCTTTCCTTTATAGAAACGTAAAAGTAATTGGTATGGTTATCTGTCAATGTACTATTTTAATGTAATGTTGTTTCAACGTTGTGGAAGTGAAGGATCAGATGACATAAGTCTGAGTCCCTCTTGTGCCTTTACCTGTCTCTTCTTGAAATGCATCTACAGTTAGCCTCAACAGGTTTTATTAACACAAAAGACTGGAAAGAGGATAAGCTTACATTTGATGTTCTTCTGTGTAATATGCGTGCATGTATGTTACCATTTATCTGGGTTTTTTGATTTGTAGTTTTGAATGTTTTTTATCACCATAAAAGTTTTTCTTTTCTACATATCCATCCTTATCAGTTTTGAGATCCATTCTATAGGAGGTGAGTAATAATTATTATGTTTTAATGAATCGAGGGGGAAGGAAAGCCCCTAGTATAAGTCGTGTTGGTCTGATTCATTGACCTCATTCATTCATATGAAATCATTGTACCTTGTATTAGAAAGTATGAACATGTGGTTTACATAAAAATCTGTTGATACATTCTGAAGATACTTATTTATGTGAATATGTAATTACATATATATATATATATATAGATGTGATGAGGTTCTAAACGTTGGTTTTCGATATTGGGTTTGATTGAGTGTTTTATCAATGCTTAAGAAAAAATACGTCAAAGAAAAATAGCACTATTAATATACATAAAAGCATAAAATGACAAGAAACAATTCAGAAAAGGAGGGTCCATTTGCATTGAACCTAGAATCTACATTGGATGATATACTCCAATCGAATAGAGAATGGTCACAACAGATGAATGAAAGAGCACCTGATTTATTTGACAAATATAGTTCCAAAGGACAAGAACCACATACATTATTAATATGTTGTTCAGACTCGAGATATAATGAAAATTGTTTAAATGTGTTACCTGGAGAAGTGTTAACAATGAAAACAATTGCTAATATATGTAATGAAGATTTATCATTTTTAGCGACAATTGAGTTTGCTGTTAAAGCATTAAAGGTATCTAGAATAATACTAATGGGTCATACAGATTGTGGAGGTATAAAAACAAGTATGGACGATCATTGTAAAGGGTATTCTTCTAATGGTTGCGGGTATCTATATGAATATTTAACAGAGATTAGAGAGTTGATAGAAGAGAAAGAAAAAACCGATGTAATCTTTAAAAAGCAAACAGACATGGCAGAAAAGGCAAGGTATCTGTCAATTGAGCATATATTGAGACAAGTTAAAAAGATTGAATCCAATAAAATAGTCCAAGAGGCCATGAAAGGGTCTAATTTAAAAGTCTATGGATTATTGTACAATGTAGAGACAGGTCTATTAGACAATTGCATTGATCAATGAATTTTTGTAATTCGTTGAGGAAGAATAATAAATACATTTAAAAAAGAAAAAAAAAATTTAGTCACTAAAGAAAGGCTTTACGACAATTGCATTAATAAATAAATAAATAATTAGATAACTAAGTAAATTTACATGCGTAAAATACTTAAAATTTAAAATTCATTAAAGATATAATACAATATTATGAATATATTCCTATCAATCTAATCGACTATTAGCGATTAATCTACCAGCCAAAAAAAGGTGGTCACGTTATGCAATAGGTATGGTACTGATACTATATATATATATATATGTTTATAAATGCCTTCTTGTATGAACGGCATTAGTGATTGATTGAAAGGAGTAAGTGATTTCCGGTATTGGAAAAGTTACTTTAAGTGGGGTTAGTTGTAAAAGAATGATGTGTTGGTTTATCTGTTTCCTAAAGGGATAATGGCGGCAATGTGACGAGAAAGCAATAAGAAGGAAAGATGGCTGGTGTATACTGGTCAAAACAGGTCAGTCAGTGTAGAGAAGGTAGGGGATTTAACAAGTACCATAATAACAGACAGAAATAAGGTGCAATTGTTTAAAAAAATGAAGAAAGGGTTATGTCATATTAATGTCATATGACCGCGGAGTATTCCCTTTGTTTTTTGATTTTATTTAGCTCTCCGGTTAAATTTTGTCTGTTTTTGTTCATTTGTTTGACTTTTTGGTTTTTGTGGCTTTAATGTTGGTATATGTGGATGGGTGCATCATACAAGGATTTAGAAATTTTTAAAGAAATAGTGAAATCCCAGGAAAAAAACAGAGAAGCAAGAATTCTAGTTAGATTTTTTTTTTGATTCGATTCCGGATAAGGTAAACTCCGGGGAGCAGAAATAAGTGCGAAAAAGAAGGAATGAGAGACAGAGAGCGAAAGAGAGCGTGTGCGGGGTGATTCATAAAATTTCTGGAAGAAAGAGGTGCAGGATGGACATGCGTATCTTTTACATCACCATGATTAAATTTAATTGGCAAAACATGGCGCAGAAGAGGTCAAAATGAGGTGTTCTATTTGTCAGAGAGAAAGGAACGGAGAAGAAGAAACAACAGCCGCCGTTGTCAGGTTGTTTCCGCGGCTGAATGTAAGTGATCGTCGTATTGCTGTCTGATGATGGCATTCAATTCTAATTCTAATTCTCATTTTGTCTTTTGTATTTGTCTTTGTCTTCTTTGTGTCACACAATAGAACCTCAATTAGGTAACCTTATTAATTTTTAAAAGTATCTTTTGTGTTTCTGTGTTTGTTTTTGTGTGTTTTTGTGGTTAAAGAGTTGAAGAGTTGAAGAGGTAAGATAAAGTAAAATTGTCCTCCTCTCTTGTCTTAATACAGATGAAATGATTGTAACCCCACGGCAACGACAAAAAAAAAAGAATATACTATTAAATAAAATAAAATAAGCAAGGTAAATTATAACAAACAAAGATAAAATTATATAAATATTCAAAATGAAAGCTGAAACTTTTAGAGGTTACCTTCTCTATCTTACATCTTTCTTATTCGTTTTATTTTGGCTATTGCCAATCCGTCTATCTTCTGTCTATCTCCCTATACACTGAAACTTGGTGTAGTTCTTTAATATCCTTTGGACTTTTAATCTCAGGTCTCTAATCTCTTTCATATTTAATCTTCATCTGTGGTCTCTAAAAACTTATAACCTTTGTAATCTCTCTCTCTCTCTCTCTCTCGGATGGTAATGCTCTTTAGAAGTTGAGGTTCTTGACCTGATATTTTAACCTTTTATCTTTCACTATTCTCTTTCTTTTATTGTTTTGTGTAGTCTTCGCAGTTTTATTCGTCTGTGTCATTCATATTAACAAAACCTCATCGCTCTCGATAGAGTATTGGTATCTCTAGAGACAATTCATTGTTACGTTTATATTACCTCATTAATTGAGTTTCAGTTCTTTTGGTTTGGACAAGTATAAGAAGTTGTTTTTTTGCCTTATCTCATACTAAAAAAATCATCCAGGACAGCAACGACAGCAACAACAACAAACAGTATTAGGAATAATAAAGAGATATTTATAACAATAATTGTGTAGGTGTATTAGTATTGAAATAAAACTCAAAATACTTCATCTCAATCCCCCTTTCCCTTATTTTTTGATTATTACTTTTATTCATTTTGGTCAAGTTTATGGGTATAGATAGAGTTTTAACTTTGATATCGTTTTAATAATTAGAATAATTAAAATTATAAATACAACAAGGAAAACCACGAAGTTTTGGATTAATTTGCCCTTTTTATTTAAAATATATATATAAGTACTTGTATAGACTGGCATTTTATACTTATTAAGTAGGACCCAAATTTTTTATTGTTTAATTCATTAATCAATAACAAGAAAAAAAAACAAAAGTTAGAAAAGCGAATAACTCATTGCCCAATGTCAGAAAACTTCCAACGACAAAATCAAAATCATGCTACTAATCAAGCTCAGAATTTAAATGGTATCCAACCAAACAGTATTATTAATTATCCGGTACATGAATTATCTATTAATGACATTTTGTTATCAAAAAATTATTTAGATGATTATCAAAGATTATATTTCGTATCATGTTTTATTAAATTCTTTAAAAATGGTACTAGAAATTTATCAATCACAAATGATTTAAATATTAAAAAAACAATTTATAAATCAAATGTAGCCCAGATTTTTAATAATTCAAATGACAATAATCAAACTGTCACTTTTAAATTATTAAATTGTTTCGAATATCAATTCCCGGATTTACAAAAAAATCAATTAAATGACAATGATTTGAATTCTCTAACTTATTTAACAAAAGATATTAAGGAAAAATTGTCAATCCCACATACTATCTACAGTAAAAAAAATTTACAATTGTTTATTAATTCAAATATACCAAATTTACATAATAATGGCAATCCAAGCACAACAGACTTAACCACGAATGAAGAAAATGAAAAAGGATCACAAGAAATAGCAATAAATGATTCAAATTTAAATTCATTATCCAAAAATCATCAATTTAAATTAAATAATAATAATGAAACACTTATTAACCCAAATAATTATATTATTTGGACTTATGACACAGGTTATGTCTTCTTAACTGGTATTTGGAGATTATACCAAGATGTCATGAAAGGTTTGATTTATTTGAAAAGATACACCGATGAGAATGAAAATATGAATAATAATAAGAATAATAAAAATAAAATTCCAATAAATAAAGAATTAGAAAAGGATTATATTAATGAAACTTGTATCGATGAATTCGAATTCGTAATGAATCATGTATTCTACGATGATTTAACAAATTTAGATTTTGATACAATACACGCTAAAAAAAGAAGAAGAAGTGCAACAAAATTTAATAATTTAGTTAATCCAATAAATTTGAATGAATCGCATTCAAATCCTATTTCGAATCCAAATTCGCCAACATCACATTCCCCATATCCAACTTCGGGCACTAATTATACTGACTTACATTGGAATAATATTTCAAATGAATTAAAAGATTTCTTATTGATTACTTTTAAAGATTATTTGAGAATTAAAAGGAATTTACCAGAAAGTCAATTGACTAATTTGACAATTTATGATTTAATTCAAAGAATTAGAGGTGGTTATATTAAAATTCAAGGTACTTGGTTACCATGGGAAATTTCAAGAATTTTATGTATAAGATTTTGTTACCCAATTAGATTTCTATTGGTACCTCTTTTTGGACCAGATTTCCCAAAAGATTGTGAATTTTGGCATAAAAATATACAGCAAAAATTATTATACAACAATGGGAATATAGCTACAGTTACAACTACAACTACAACAAATATTAATGATTCAGTAACTATTTTAAATAATGAAAAAATTACAAATAATTACAAAAAAATTCAGAAACCAAATGAAAAAGAAATCCCTGTGACTCAAGTAGCAAAGCCATTCAAGAAAAGAAAGAAAAGGGTATCCAAAAGTAAGAAAATTTCTGAACCATTAAAAAAAAGAAATGCAAAGGTTATGAATATTAGAAACCATTTAACGAAGGCGTTTAAGGTTCTATTAAAAACTGCTCAAATGAAAAGGCCCTTAAAAATGCCACTTACAGATTTAAATTTTGCAAGATATAAATCATACCATTATCAAGGTAATTTAAATTTTTTCCTAGTAACAATTCCAACATTGAGAAAAAATATTCATTCTAATAATTTAAAACTGCCATCATTAAATTATACCTTGTCAGATAACTCTGACAATAAATCAATTAATACAGATATTATTATCGAAGGCCAGCTAAAAATGCAAAGACATATACAAGGACAACAACGGCAACAGATGCTTGAAAATAAAGCTAAACAGCAAGAATTAGCAACTTTTATGAGAAAAAAGAGTAGTACTATGCCATCAGCAACCATATCACCAAGAACTTCGGTATCTCATGTGCCATTGTATATTGGTCATCATCCTGTGAATCGTCAATCGCAAGATTCTATAGAACCTAAAATGTCAACAGCTATAAATTCACAATATTATAGGACCAATGGTCATAGATATTCATATCCAATGAATGTCAGATATTCTTCCACAGGCAGTATTTCCAATGACGAAAGATTTTCTCTGTCTTCAAATAATAATATTAATCAGGATACAGATAATAGAAGTTCTATGAATGCCAACTATTTGTATAATAATGGTCAAGGATTAGAAAGACCAAGGCTACAATTTGTTTCACAAGTGCCAAGGTCAAATAACTGGGCAAATTATCCAATACCGTTGACGCAACATGTCGGTTACTCCCACCAAAATGGCTCACAACCACTGTTTGAAAATAATCATATGATGAATAATAATAACATTCATTATGACAATAATGGTAGAATTATTATGATGAATAGAAACAGTGTTAATCAAAATAATCACAATCCTAGCATACCATTTAATGTTGAACAGCAAGATGTGTCATCAGGTTCTGTTCGTAGCGGCTTGAGCGGAAGTAATTTTGTACCAAGGTTTAATGCGGAACAAACTCAACAAAATGTGTTGGCCTGGAGAAATTGGTTAAACGGTACTCGATAATACTAAATATATAGCAAGGGACGATTAGCCGCAATACCCTGTTTCTAGTATTATATTTAAATGAAATTTTTGTAGTTTTATTACTTTAATTTTTATCCTTGGTTTTCAAATTTTACGTAAAAATTATTTTGTTGAGAATTAGACATAAATATTAATTTCGAAGACAAGAATAAATTAATTTTTATAGAATTTTATTAACATATTTATCAATTTTGCTTATTATATAATGTCGTATTTTTGAAAACCTTTCCTTTATTCCAATGCATGAGAAGGAATTTTACCACGACCATAACCCTCTTGTTCATAATAGTCCATTGGATAATATTTATCTGTGAACATGATATCTTTACCCAGTAAAACATTAGCTTCATAGGGTGTTAAAAGTGGCTTATTGAAGGCATATCCCCAATCAATAGACAACCTTGGACAAGCGACTTGGACAAAAACATCGATTTCGTCAAACATTGATAATTTTTGAGGAAAAATCTCACTTAAAATAATCTTTATAACTTTCTTACCAACGGCTAACAATTTACTTTCCAAATTTTCAACAGTTTTCAAATTACCTTGTCTCCCTAATGCACCTAATATTAATCCAAATGTTTTACCATTCTTTGCTGTTTCAATGGCATCCGTTCTAACCTCAACTAGTTGATTTTGATCATACCCTTCACTTGTGAATTTTCTACTATATGGATCATATCTAAATGCTGGTATTTCTGGGTTATGGATCATTGATGATTCCAAATGGAATCTTCCATCACCAATGTAAACCATATAATCAATTTGGGATTTATCTAACCTTTGGGAGGTACAACCTAATACTTCACCTCTAGATAAAGGCTTAATTTGAGGAGGTATTATATACAACATATGACTATCATCATTTAATAATTTATCTTTTATACTGTGCACAGTTGGATTGAATTGAATGGTACTAAACACAGCAATTCTAGAACCTGTTTTAAAGTTTCTTTGCAAAGTTTTCATAATATGGACCTCATCAATATTGATTGTAACAAAAACATATAATACTTTTATGCTGGTAACATCGATTGGAACTAAACAGGAATGAGCATAATGAACAATAAAGTCACACTCAAGTGCTCTTGCAGTGAAATCATCAATACAACATGCACCATATGATACATCACCCATTACCACTGTTTCACAAGCACAAAACTGCTCTAATATATCACTAATGATCAAAGAGTATATTAGTAAACCTTCTGGCATTTGTAAAGCAACTCTCTTTGCATTAGATTTTTTAATATTCCAAACTGTTTTATGGATTTCAAAATTATAATTCGAAGGTAAAAGTTTTATAGCCTCATTTAAATCTTCATCATTGAGAATTTCCTCAGGTATATGATTGACTGCTCTTCTAATATTCACTTTCCCTCTTGGTTTATGAACAACTGATGTTCCATCACTATTGCTCTGAGATTCATCATCTACTACTGTAGGCTTTTTAGCACCAACAAATCTTCTTCTAGGTGCTTTTGGTTCTTCACTCATCTCTTTGATATTCTACAACTTTATATCCTCCTCAACCAAACTTCAATATATATAAGAATACTTCATTTTGTACTGGATAACTTCTTAACTCATCTCAAATTCATCAACTTTTTTTTTCATCAGATCAAGTAAGCTTAAATTTTTCAGATGTCTTTAATGGTGAAAAATTAAAGTATCATCGAAATTTGATATTTAAAGCAAGCTCATCGCAAGGTTTATTAATAAGCCTGGAATAATAACATCAATAGCCATAAAGGTGGTCAGGTTATTTGTTTCAAAATGATTACTCCAGCATTTAAAGTTACTCAGGATGAGGATTTTGTAATTATAAATGTTAAGATATCAAGCATCCGCTTTGATGCACCAGGAATGGAAATGGTAGTAACTGGCAATGTTTTTGTCTTTCATCTCTCACCATACTATTTAAGATTGAGATTTCCTCACAATTTGGTTGACGATGAGAGGGCAACTGCTGAATATAAGCTATCTGAAGAAACTATACATATAAAGCTTCCAAAAGAGGAACGTGGGAAAGTATTTGAAGATCTAGATTTCCCATCTAAGCTATTAGCAAGAGAAGGTGATATACTACAAGCAGATAATTTGAATAATGTTGAAGCCAATACCAACAATATTGCAAAAGGTCCTTTGATTCAGGAAATTGGAGGAGAGAAATCTCAGTCTGATGAAGTTCAAAATATAGCTCAACTTGGTGAAACATTTAATTGGGAAATTGAACAAAAGATAGCTGAAGATTCCATGGATGTCTTGTCGGCAAAATATGGGTTTGATAATAATTATAATTCTATCGTATCAGTTTCTGTTGCAAACGGTAATGATATAAATGAATTAGATGAACCAGAAAAGTCGACCGCCGATGAACGAGTTAATGAAAGGTTAAGAAAGGAAAACCTAAAATTTGATCCAGAATATTACGTCTCTGAATATATGACAAATAAATTTGGCTCAGACGAGGACCTAGTAATAAATGGTATAAAAGAGCTATTACAATTTACACCTGCTATAGTAAAGCAATATTTAAAATGGTACAAAAATGCAGAAAACAAAGATGCGACTATGCCAGTAGATTTTACTGAAAAGGAGCAGGAGCAAATGCAAAAAAACCTACCCAATAAAAATTATTTGGTTCAAGATTTAAAACCATTATACATAACTATACTAAATTTATTATTTGCATACGTTTTTGAACAAATTGAAAATGAGGGAGTTCAACAAACCGAGAGTGGATGGACAATTGGAAAACTAACACCACAATTATGCTTCCTTGATCAACAATTAATGGTGAAAAAAGAAGTTTTAATTAGTGAAAACCCCAATGAAGATATTTCTGTAATCAGAGCTGCAATTATTGCCGGTATTAGAAGAGGATTAAGTTATCCATTACATAGAAACTTTGAATTAACTAAAAAAACCTGGAATTACGTCTATTATATACTTAGAGGCGGTAAACGATTAATCATAAAATGCCTATTAACTATTCATGAACTATTTAGATTTCATGATGTATATTACGTTTACAACAAAATTTTGTTGGACGACTTATGTTCGTGGTTCATATCTAGTGGTAATGAGAATATTATCAGAAGTCTCGCCATTGAACTGAAGAAAGAATTGGACACAGTCACTAGTGAAACTATTAACTTCGATTGCATAGCTGATTTCAATGCTGAAACTGGGGAGCCTGTGTGGGAAAACCTGACTTTAAAGGAAATGGAAATTCTTTCCGAGTCAGAATATTTAGCATCTTTAGAACCCAATTAAATAACATGATGTATTAATAGAATAAAATTTAGATAAACCTTTACTCTAAAATTTTTTATTGTTACCATTTCCTTTTAATTCATGTACTATTTAGTAGTTTATTGATGAAATGTGGAGGTCTTGTAGCAGCTGATCTCACCGGACTTGCATCACGACTGCTGTTCTCACTACAAGTTTTATCATCGAAATCTTCATTTACATCGACTGTTTTACCCTTTGGGGTTACTGGTTGAGCCTTTGGATCATCGACGACATTTAAATCTATAACTTTAAATCCTGTAGCTGATTTTGAACGTCTGTGTTTTCTCTGTTGTGAATGATTAGAAGGAGGTTGTAAAGTTTGCTTGGAAACACTTAGATTTGGGCGTTGAACTTGCAAAGTTGAATTGCTGTTGAAATTTAGGACTGAAGTCATTCCTGAGAATGTATTTGAACTTGAATTCATCGGCAGAGACATATTTCTACGATGCATATAAGTACCATTTTCATTTGGAATTGGAATTGGACTAACAGAAGACCTATGTGGGGGAGTAGTTTCTTCTTTTATAATAGTACCTCCCAAGGATGCTATAGCAGATGCACCTATTCTTGCAGGGGAATTAGTTCTTCTATGTTTCGGTTTTGCTATCGATTTTGGAGGTAAATAATTGCCCACTGGAGGAAATTTATAACTTGAAGGTTGTTGCGAAGAAATTGATTCCGACTTTAATAGCACAGTTTTATTCGTATCATCTTGAGTTGAATTACCAAAATTAAATACATTCGATATTTGATTTGGCGGAATACCATTTTCCCTTGCCATTTTAAAAAGTTCAATTGATTTATTAATTATTTCTAATTTATAGTACTGTTGTTTGGTCCTTTCTTGTTCTTGCTTTAATTCCAATGCTTTTATTAAAGAGTTCTCAGAAAAAGTCCATTCATTCACATGTTGACCAAACAGTATATCCAATATAGTCTTTCTATCATCGTTATCCGCATTGGAATTGGTATTTGAAATTGGATTACTCATGATATGTTAAAAAATAAATCAAATACTCAAAACAAGACAAAACACTTCAACGAAATTTCTATCCACAATTTTCTCCCTTCCTCTGATGATGATCACTCTATTATATTACAATTATATCACAAACCCAAAATAATTAATAAATATCCTCGAAATGTAAATTGTATTTTAAAAGGAAGCCTATTTTTAGAGTAGTTTATAGAACAAACTAATATTATCTGGATTGAAAAAAACAAAAATTTTTATTAGAAAGAGATGCCTAATTATCCTTTAAGTGTGCTGAAACCGTAATAATATCAAACTAAACCAAATCAATATAATATGAATCCAGATATATTCATGCCCATATAGATAAACATATAAATAATATATATATATATATATATATTTATACAAATAAATTATACGAATAGATAAGGAATTTATGATACAAGTTCGTGTTACTATAAGGTTCAACAATTTGCCAAGCAAATACAATGTTGATTTATCCTCAATCAATATCAATTTAGATGTAATATAATAAGGAAAACTAAGCAAATAAAATGTTTCCTTACTTCATTAAGCTGTTAAAAATTTCAATATTTTTTCAAATTTATCACAATTTTTCCTTTTGAATTTTAATTTTTTTTTTTCCCTATAGTTTTTCACTATTTAGTAGTGAAAAATTCCATATTATTTAATTCTGATCTATTTCATCGATCAATCAATATACAAACGATAATTTAGTATTTCAGTATTTAGTATTGAGTATTGAGTATTGAGTATTGAATATTTCTTCTTTATTTCCTTTCTTAAACAGATTGAGTGTGCAGATAGACGAAAATGGAAGTGATGGGAATAAGGTATGTTATCCAAATCAAGTCCGTATTGCCTAATTAGGACAAGGGCAATCAACTCTGCTTTCGAGGGATATCAGTAGGGCTCAATTGGGAAACAGAGTAATTGGTGAGTTTCGGCTTTTCTCGTCTCTCTTTAATTTCTCTGTCTGACAGGTAAAAAGAAACGCAGTTGTACTCGAAAGGGATCTGCTGTGGGGCACTGCTGCACAGTCTTCATTTTTTTTCAAATTTCTTCCTTTCGCTCTTTTTGTTCGCGGCGCGGGACGGCGCGGTCTCAACAATCAGGACAGTTGCACAGGAATACTTAGTTGAGTTTCGGGAGACAGAGAGAGGCAATTAAACATTAAAAGAAAAAGAGACAAATTTGTATTCCTTGTTTATCTGTTCTACATTCTTGGCCGACTTTCTATGGGACATTTACTGTCGTCTTTTCATTTCATACCATACTACATCCTGCATAATGGGGGAGACAAGCTCTTGTTCTGCGGGAATTGTATTGTCAACTCATTTTGAAAATTTTATGGGCTGTACTAGAACTGAAAAAAATAGGTAGTTCAGTTCTCATTGAACCACTTCGAGGACAGTTAGTTATTTGAAATTTAGGCTAAAGAGAGAGACATTTGTTATCCTAAATGGGAAATTAGAGAGTGAATTCGCATAAGTTCAGAATTGGTGCCAGACGAATGTTGTTATTAATTTTAGAAATCTTTTTTTTTTTTTATTTTTTTATCTTTTTTCTTGACTGGTCTGCTGTCCTTTCTGTATCCCGGTGTCGAAAACACAATATTTTAACAGAAAGGGAAAGCAGACATTAAAATACATAATTTATTCTTTTTTTGGTTTCTGTTAAAATAATTACCCAAAACGGCTAATGTGATAAAATAAAATTAAAATTCTTTGTACCGATTAGGTAAAAATAATAAGTAGAGACATCGATGTGTCCAGTTCCATATACTTATCTATCCTGATCAATTAAAATATTTATTTGACATATTATTATCTTCACTATTAATAGTAACAATATAATCTTAGATAAACCCATTCATGCCCCTATAATTATATATTTCAGATGAGTATTTTCAATTGTTTAATTCCAGGTTACCATCCAATGAGGTATTTCAGTATATAAAAAATGAAGTCATAGTAGTAGTTATTACCTCCAGAGTTTTGAAATGGTATTACAGCATTGGTACCACTATTGCTGTTCCCTCCTGTAACCGCTTTCATCGCTAACTGCCATTTAAACAGGTTGCTTACAATCGAAAGTACATCATCTATAATAGTCTTTATCACTCTGAGAACTAAGAGCACTACTACTGCAACAAAACATACAGTAATTACTGTAGACGTCGGAAATTCTATTATAACATGTCCAATTCGACTGGCCCTTAGATTTTTATCAATATCTTCTTTTGCTAATATTGGAAATTTCCCTCCTCTACCCCATTTTTTCATCAATTTTTTCTTGACAACAATTTTTTTACAATTACAGTCTTTATCAAAATCCGAATCTCTCTTGTCTTTAAAATATTTCGATTTTATCTTTGAATACCAATTTCTTTTAAAGGTCACAGTTTTGTCTACCATCTTATCTCTAAAAACTTTGTTATCCATAACCTTACCCTGTAAATAAAACAGTCCTTTAACAAAAATATCAATTACGTTCTACTTTACCATCTAAATTATAACTAGCCTTTCCCTAAGTCAATTCGACCATCTGATTTCTAAATCGAATTGAAAACACATATAAAAACCAAATCTGGATTCTCACAGTTGTCAAGAGTCTTGTTCTCTGAGCATCATCAAACTCCATCACAAATCAATTCAAAACTTCTTTAAACTGAAAATATACCAGATCAAACCAGCCATTCATCACAAGAAGATTAAAAACTTAAGCTTGTTAACATAACGAATATTAGATAGAATCCCAGCAATAAGCTGCTTGTGAGGTCAACAAAACACCGTGCATATATCATCAGGAACGGGGCATCTGGCCTTCCACAGCTGAAGACATCTCGAGCATCTGACCATAATTAACAACTAGATTCATTCCATGTCAAATTGGTTCAGTTGATCTTCATTTCTACTGCATCAATTGGCGGTGTTTGGGGGGTTGATCTTAGTATTAGTATTTGTAGGGAGTAGAAACGGAAGAGGGAGGAGCAAGATGGAAGGAATTGCTTTTCCTATCAGCTATAGCCATAGCCATGTATGTCTATTATTTGTTTTTAGCCATACGATATTGTCTTGTACCTCCGGTAAAAATGACACAACATATCCATTGACTAAGCTGGGCTGCTTCAAATCCTGTTGAATATCGAGAGTTAGCTTCGCTATCACCCACCACCAGAGAACTCAAATGTCTTTTTAAAAGATTGACAATGATTCAATGTTGGAGGATGAGTGAGGGAGTGAGTATAGATAATCTCCACGTTTCTAATGGAATATTCCTCAAAGTAGTTTGTTCTTTCTGAAGTCTATACTTTTCAGTTAACTTTGTCTGTTCAAGGAGATTGATTATCCATCCATTTGGTGCATTATCTATTCTGCTAAGATAAACTTCTTTTTAGGTTCTATCAAGACATCATCTCTAAACTCCCCCCGTAGACTACCCTCTTAAATATGAATATTATAAACTGATTATTTATCTAGAATTGCTCTTTCTATCAATCTTTTTGATTCATTTTGTTTTTAAAAATATTTTTTTTTTTGACGTATTTAAACTTCTTGATTTTACTCCTTTGGTTCCATCGATCCAACGTTAATTTTGTAATCTTAATTTTATTGTTATACTATTTAGCTTCATTCTCCTTTTCTTATCTTCTTATTTTATTTTTACAGGTGTCATGTCTCTTTAGTTTGGGTCAATGAACTCAAAAATTCTTTCATGTTCTGTTTCTTTGTCTCTTTATCTTATAACAAATATGATAAGTGACTGGAAATGACTGCATGCTCACATGAGTCAACTGTTAATGGAAACAGCAACAATGGCAACATTACCAGGACAAACGAAAATGGTAATAATATAGCCAAAAATAACAATGTTGTAAGATTTTTAGATAATGATGGCGCCAGTTCTAATGAGTTGCCGCTTTTTTTGAAACGACCTTATAGTGACACTCCAGTGACAAGTAATTGGAATTCTCCAGAAAACTCTACCGATGGAACACCGTTAGTCTCCCCAGATACAAGTTTCGTTAATTTAGGAAAATTGGATGAATTGATCTCTGTAGACAGTTCAACTGAAGAGATAAATCAAGAAAATTTTCTAAGATTACAACCAGATAATATCAATAATGATGATATTTCACCTTCGAAATTTAATCACCCAAGGAAAAGAAATACAACTTTCGATGTGCCAGGATTGACAAAATCAAAAAAGTCTCCAGATGGGACCATTTCAAAGGAAGACCCTTGCTCTAAGCTAATTATAATAATGGTAGGTTTACCAGCCACGGGTAAGTCATTCATTGCAAATAAATTGTCAAGGTATTTGAATTACTCAATGTATGACTGTAAAGCTTTTAATGTTGGTAATACCAGAAGAAAATACGCCAAGGATCACGGTTTAGAAGATCAAGATTCAAAATTTTTTGACCCAACTAATCAAAAATTCTCGGATTTAAGAGACCAATGGGCATTAGATACTTTATCTGAATTGCTAGATTATTTGTTAGATGGGAATGGCTGTGTAGCAATTTTTGATGCAACTAACACTACAAAAGTAAGAAGAAAGCTTGTTGTAGAAAGAATAAGAGAAAGATCTGAACATATTGGGATCTTATTTTTGGAGACTATTTGTTCCGACAACAAAGTAATAGAAGAAAATGTCAGATTGAAATTATTTGGCCCAGATTATAAGGGAAAAAACCCTGAAAAGTCATTAAAAGATTTTAAAAAGAGATTATTGAATTATAATAAAGCATACGAACCATTAGAAGATCATGAAAATATCCCATATGTTAAAATGGTCGATGTAGGTAAAAAGGTAATCTCATATAAAATAAAAGGTTTTTTAGCGTCACAAACTGTTTATTACTTATTGAATTTCACTTTAAATGAAAGACAAATCTGGATCACTAGAAATGGGGAAAGTGAATATAATGTCAGTGGAAGAATTGGTGGTGACTCAAATTTAACAAAGCGTGGTAAGAAGTATGCTACCGCCCTAACCAAGTTTATCGATAAACAAAGGACAGAATTTAACAATTACGAATTAAAAAAGCTTGAATCCAATAAAAAAAAATATAAGTCATTTGATGTGTCTTCAGATGAGAATTCGGAAAATCATGATGATGATGACGAAGATCACCAATTCAATGAGTTTTTTGTATGGTCTAGTATGCGCAAGAGATGTGTACAGACAGCAGAACATTTTAATGAAATTGAGTACCCAATAAAACAAATGAAAATGTTGGATGAGCTAAATGCAGGAGATTATGAAGGAATGACATACCAAGAGATTCAAGAAAACTTCTCCGAAGAATTCGAGGAACGCCAAAAGGATAAATTGCGTTATAGATATCCTGGTATCGGTGGGGAATCTTATATGGATGTCATTAATAGATTAAGGCCTGTAATCAATGAAATAGAGAGATTGGAAGATAATGTTTTAATTATTACCCATAGAGTTGCTGCAAGAGTACTATTAGGTTATTTTATGAATCTAGGAAAAGATATTATTGCTAATTTAGACATACCTTTGCATTGCATATATTGTTTAGATTTAAAACCCTATGGCATCTCTTGGTCATTATGGGAATATGATGAAGAAAAGGATGATTTCTTTAAGCTACCAACATCAGGATTAAATACATGCAAGGTAAAAGAAGTGGGTTCTGTATACAAGGAGAAACATTACTCTATCGTTCCTACTGCCCCTTTAAGTTCTAGTAGTTCTGTTTCTGATTTAAGTTTCTCAAGGAAATTACGAAATGGAACTTCACCAAATTCATCCAATATCAATGATTCAACATTATCCAACGAACCATTAATCACTGTACCAATTATATCTACATCCAATCTATTAGAAGGTGGAGGTACTTCTATTTCTAACGTACCGAAAAGAACAATAATGGTTCCCCAAAGTTCAAGCCAAAGCACAGTCATATCTTCGATCCTAGCAAATGAATCCATTGAACCAATCTGCATAGAAAGTAAAAACAGAAGTGATACAATTGACCTAAAATCTGTCAAGAATGAAAATGTTCCAGATAAATTGTAACTATAAAGCTATTATATAACTAATTTATATAATTTAATCGTTATACCTCAATGTGTCTCTATATTATTAGTTATTTGATAATTAATTATTATAGGGTCAATATATAATTTAACAATATTTTTATAAAACCAAACTTGATTGGATAAACCTTCCAATTATTACCAATTAAAAACATAACGTAGCAAATATAATCAATAATTTAGAAATCAACCGTATACAATACCCATTGCATCAACCCAATTACTCATTCTGCCATAGAGACCTAAAATATATTTACCTTCAGGAGCTATTAACTTACCAAGACCACCACCATTGGCATTACCAAACATTTGTGTGATTCTGCCGTAACTAGTAATTAGTTGAACAGCATCTATCCAAGCCCCACATCTTACATTGAATCCTGTTATTATTTCTCCTGGTTCCATAATAACATCACTGTAATTTCTAGTCTCTTTACCAAATAATACGTTATTATCAGCCTCTTTGATAGCCAAATCCTTCATGGAGTTTGTCAATTTTCCAGCATATGTCCTAGAAGGAATGGTGGGTGGCTTATTCGGATCTTGTCTTTTTTGGTAAAATCTGATACCATCCAATGCACCACCGTGATATATTCTAACTGCAACTATATTAGCAATATCTAATGGAATGATATCTATTTCACTACCTCTATTCCCACCACCTAACATGGTAGATTTAATACCATGAACATTTTTACCAAACCCATATCTGTCCATTGGTATTGTTGATATATTCATTTGATTAGGGAAGTTATCAAAGGTTTTACCTGGCCCATTGGCAACTAGCAATGAGATCTTAAAATCATTACCGTGTTTGGCCAAATGATCTGGCGGTATTCTAGAACGTATATCTTGTATCGATAATGTTAGTTTATGTTGGGGTCCTTGTCCACCGAGAGATTTTGGGATATATTCAATGTAAGCCCTGGCCAAATCACCGCAGACTATTTCGACACAATATATACCACCTTCTGAATTTATAGTACACGTACCATTTCCTAAGGGATAGAGTGAAGGTTCTGCGATTCCAGGGTTATTTAATCTGGTAGGTCTCATGAATGAAGGGTCGTAATAATCCTCAGGTAGAGTAAAGGAAGGGTGATATAAGAATCTTAACATATCAAGTCTATGCCAACCACATTCTTCCTTTGGATAAATTGGAGGTTTAGCACCATACGATTTTGTTCTAACAGAAAATGCTTCCTGAGTTAAAAATGATCTATTTAACCTAGTATAGTCTCTTAACATAACACCATTTTCTTGATGGGGACATCCCAATAAATGCCCAATTTCATGCATAAACGCACCTAAAGTCACCACTAGACATTCCCAATGAGTACCACATTCATTACAGTCATTGGCGACTTCCTTTGTAGAAGCTTCAGTACTATCTAACATATACGGAATCAATTGCTCCATTGATGGTGGCCATGAATATAAACCATGAGAACCAAAAATTGCTAATTTTATATCGCTTGTTCCACCACCCAATGCAGCATGACCTGTAATAAGTTTACCATCCCAGTGGGTATCTAAGAACATCACTGCGGCTTGCACTGGTTTGTCACTATTTGTAAAAGGACCACCATATTTTTTTAAAGCATCCATTGCGACACCAAATAAACCACCACCATCTTTTGCCTTTGGATTCTGTTGGGCAATATCATAATCTCTAATTTCCTTAGTTGATTTATCAGATCGTAGAATATGAATTTTGATTGTATTTCTCATTTGTTGTCTAGTTTGAAATTGGGTATCCCAAGTGTATTCTTCAACGAATTGGAAAGTACGATGACCAAACCCATTACGCAGCATTTGTTCATTTGTGAAAGCTTGCATCAAACGACCACCAATTCTTAATTTCCTGATAGCTAAATCCAAATTATTACCACCTTCTTTATCCTTTTGAGATCTTGGAGAATCGAATTCTAAAGGAGAGTCGTTAGCAACAAGCAGACATAAATGAATTGGTAAATTTTGATATTGTGGGCTGTAAATACAAGTAACGACTTTTGATATATTGGTATCAGTGACAAAAGTTAACCTATTTGAACCAGGGTTTAAAATTATAGTAGCTTTAAAGAAATTATCAATCACAGGGAAATTCAAAGTAGGTAAAGCAGGATGTTGAACTTGAATATTCTTTGAACCATTTTGTTTTGAGCATTTACCATGAATGATCAGACATGGAGAGGTTACTAAAGCATTTTCTTGCAAGTTGAATAATTCTATTTCACTCATTGCAGCTGTATTCTTATTTGAGGTTATTCAGGGTATGTAGCTAGATTCAAGCAAGTAAATAGATCTAGCAACAATGCGAGTATTGTCTTCCCGATGGTCCAGATCACNGATTGTTAAAGATATCTTCTAGGTAGGCATAACTGCTTATCAATGTGTCCATATATATATATATATTATAGTTAAATATGGTGCTCGAAGAGCTATCATACATATGTTCGAGAAAAGCAACAATGAAACTTTTCCCTAAAGGCTCGCTTTTAAGCATGTGATGATATCATTGCTAAAGAGGGCGAGATCTTGCAGCTCAGCTCAGCTCAGCTCAGCCATAAAGAAAAGAATTAGAGATGAGAAACAGCGGATGGTATAGGGGTTCTGCTGCCAACCGTCGTATGTCTACAACCTCAGAGACAGACTGACAGACCGACAGATATATATAGAGACGTGCATATTAACATATCAAGTAAGAAATGAAATGAAGTGATGGTGAAGTTCGAACTGCGTTAATAATGAGGATACTTGATATCTTGGTAGCAGAAACTACACCTTGCAAGAATCGAACCAAGAAGTCCAACTGACTATTTTTCAGTTAGAGATGTAAGAATTGTCTTCTTTTTGGTCTTAAACGCTTCTTTTTTTCTATCCTTCTCCTCCAGTCCCGTCCCATTACATCGCATCCCGATCCTCTTGGTCTCCCTCTCCCCCATCACTATGAAACTGAGACAGCAAGATCAGGTGACCTAAAAATAACTGTAACGTGTTCGGATAAGGAAAATTGTTAGAGCATATCATTCAAGACGTCAAACTTTCTCCATCTTTCTTCCACGTTTCTTTTTCATCTTGTGCAGTTTATGAAATCGAAAATCGAAAGGGCACAAAAACTAAGAAAGCAAAAAAAAGAAAAAGCATACTTTTCAGTTTGCTCTTTTTCTTTTTTTAGCATCTCGGCACACAAAAGCACTAGCACAACTACAAGAATTTTCGAATTTAAACCGACCGGCCGACCGACCAAACTGAAAAAAAATAGAAAATTTTACAAAAAAAAATAAATTTAATTTTTTTTTTTTTTTTTCAGTTTGGTCGAAAAACTCCAAAGGAATGAATGAAATACGATGCAATACGATTCATTACAACACAAGAGACAGACACACACAGTCTTAAAAATATATCAAGTAGGTAGTTGTTCTAACACTACAAAATATACTACTACTGACTTAGCGGCCAACAAAATTTTTAACCAGTAGCACTTACTGTTGTCATTATTAAGAGATTGACAGCACACTTATAAACTCTCACATAAACTCTCACTCTTCCCGTCTTCTCTCTTCATTTTTCATCTACTACTCCCAGGTTTACTGCATATAAAACAAAATGATCAAGAAATAAAAACTTAAAATACTGACGTGTACAACAGTTGAACAAGTTGGCGAAAAAATACAGAACATGTTAAAAAAACAACGGTTCCCTACTCTACACTTCTGCTCTTGTCTTGTTCCTTTACTCATATTTTTGGCTAAATATCACTTATTATATTCATCGGTTTGAAATGTATTAGGATTACGTTAAAACTGTTAACTAACTAACGTTAGGTAGCAGTTTTAACTTGACCCTGTGGTAATCCCTCTAGTGATGTTTCAATTCAAGGTTGATTTATTCTCTGTTTTTTTTTTTTTGCCTAAGTTCTAGTTGTATTGTTGTAGTTGTCGTTGTTGATGTTGTTGTTTTTTTTGCCTCTCGTAATAGTTGAAGTTACCTCTCAAATTTGACAAAAAATATATACAACTAAGCAAAACGACTAATATTATCATTTTTATAGAATTGTAATACTTACTTTACATTTTTCTTTTCAGTTTAACTCAAATTTTTAACTTATATTAGGGAATAGTGGTTACTTTATAAGCTTTTTTTTTTCATTAATATATTTTCTAGTTAACAGTACTACTTCTTATTCTATTTGGTATTGTTAAAGCTTTTTGTTCACTAGCATTATTTCAGACTTGGTGTTTACAATAAAGCTTGATATCTTTGAATTGTATTATAATCATCAATAAGGATTCCCAGTAATCATGTCACATAAGAAACGTGTATACCCAACTATGTTGGGATATTCCCAAGATGCTGGTAATGTTGCTAATAACAATCTCAATCCTGTTTTGACCTCTGATGTAGGTAATATAAATTATCAACAGCAAATGGGTAACGCAAATATTGACCAAGATCAATTTGCCAATCAACAAAATGGTTTACCAAATGATAATTCACAGCAAAGAGTTTTCACTCCTGCTCAACAACAATTACATCAACAGATTGATCAGACTGCAAATGCTATGAGTAACATGCAATTGCATAACGTACCAGTTGTAGACCCAAATGCTTATTACCAACAATCAATGCAACAACAACAATCAGGTGTTAATTTAGCAGGAGGTTCAAATGCTCGTCAATCTTCAATTTCTCAGAATCCACAATTGAATACTCAATTCTCAAAATCAAATAAACCAATGAATCAATTGTATCCAATTGATTTATTAGTAGAATTGCCTCCTCCAATATCTGATTTAAGTTTACCTCCTCCTCCTTTGATGGTACCACCTGAAAAAATGATTGTTCCAAGTGAAACTTCAAATGCTCCTCCAAACTATATCAGATCAACCTTAAATGCAATCCCAAAGAACAATTCTTTATTGAAGAAATCTAAATTGCCACTTGCTTTAGTTATCAGACCTTATCAATATTTAGACGATGATGTCAGTCCTCCTCCATTGAATGAAGATGGTTTGGTCGTTCGTTGTCGTCGTTGTCGTTCTTATATGAACCCATTTGTTACATTTACTGACCAAGGTAGAAGATGGAGATGTAACTTCTGTCGTTTGGCTAACGACTTACCAATGTTGTTCGATCAATCGATGGGTGGCGCACCAACTAACCGTTACGAGAGAAATGAAGTTAGACATTCTGTTATGGAATATTTGGCTCCAAAGGAATATACTATGAGACAACCTCCTCCTTCCATCTATTCATTCGTATTGGATGTCTCCCAAAATGCTATTAAAAATGGTTTATTGGCCACTGCTACTAGAACCATTTTGGAAACCTTAGATTCCATTCCAAACCGTGATGAAAGAACAAGAGTCTCCTTTGTATGTGTCGATAGTTCATTACATTTCTTCTCTATTCCATTGGATGAAGATTCCGATCAAGTTAAAATGATGGATATTGGTGATTTGGAAGAACCTTTCTTACCAAGACCAAATTCAATGGTTGTCCCTCTAAACTCATGTAGAAAAAACATCGAGAAATTATTGAACATGATTCCAGAAATTTTCAAGTACAATATCATGCCAAGCTTTGCACTAGGTTCAGCATTAAAATCTGTATATAATATGATTGGTGGTATTGGTGGTAAAATTATCGTCATCTCCTCCAGTTTGCCAAATAAAGGTATCGGTAAATTGCAAAAGAGAAATGAAACCGGTGTTGTTAACACCAACAAAGAATCTTCTCAATTATTATCTTGTCAAGATTCTTTCTATAAAACATTTGCAATTGATTGTAGTAAAGCTCAAATTACAGTTGACCTTTTCTTAGCTTCTGAAGAGTATATGGATGTTGCAACATTATCTAACTTAGCTCGTTTCACTGCAGGTCAAACTCACTTTTACCCAGGTTTCTCTGCCTTACATATGGCAGATGTTACTAAGTTCACCAAAGAATTCTCTAAACATATTTCTATGGATATTACAATGGAAGCTGTTATGAGAGCTCGTGGTAGTACAGGTTTGAGAATGTCTTCATTCTATGGTCACTTCTTCAACAGATCTTCTGATTTGTGTGCTTTCTCCACAATGCCAAGGGATCAAAATTATGTATTTGAGGTCTCCCTAGATGAAACTATTCCAACAGAATATTGTTACGTCCAAGTTGCCATTTTGTTATCTTTGAATACTGGTCAACGTAGAATCAGAGTTATAACTTTGGCTATCCCAACTACTGAATCTTTATTGGAAATTTATGCCTCAGCTGATCAATTGGCTATTACAAACTACTTTGCTGAGAAGGCAGTCGAAAAGGCATTGAATTCAAGCTTGGAAGATGCAAGATCTTATATTTCTAAATCAGTTCAAGATATTTTGGCTGTTTACAAGAAAGATATGGTGGTTTCAAACACTGCTGGTGGTGCACCATTGAGATTATGTGCCAATTTGAGAATGTTCCCATTATTAATGCACGCTATGACCAAGCATATGGCTTTTAGACACGGTGTTGTTCCAAGTGATCACAGAGCCATTGCTTTAAATAATATCGAATCAACTCCATTAAAATACTTGATAAAAAACATATATGCCAATGTTTACTCCCTACATGATATGCCGGACGAAGCTGGTCTGCCTAATGAAGATGGACAAATTGTTCTACCAACACCAATTAACGCTAGTGCTACTTTATTCGAAAGATATGGTCTATATTTGATAGACAATGGTACCGAGTTATTCTTATGGGTTGGTGGTGACGCTGTTCCTGATTTAGTCATGGATATATTTGGTATCCCAGATATCTTCCAAGTTCCAATTGGTAAGCAAGAATTACCAGTATTAGAAAACTCTGAATTCAGCGAAAGGGTCAGAAACATCATCAGCAAAGTTAGAGAGCATGACGATGCTATCACTTATCAAACATTATACATCGTTAGAGGTGCTTCTTTGAGTGAACCTGTTAACCATGCATCTGCAAGAGAAGTCGCTACTTTAAGATTATGGGCTACTAGTACTTTGGTTGAAGACAAGGTATTAAACAGTGAAAGTTATCGTGAATTCTTGCAAAGCATGAAAACTAAAATTAGTAAATGATAAAAATTAAACGTAAAGCTACTTTACAATAAAATATAACTGTACAAAATAAAATTTAAAAAAATATAATTAGGAAACATTAAAGCAATGATCATTTTTTTCTGTTAATTACACTAATCTATTCTGTATTATTTTAAAATTTAGGATAGAAAGATGATAATGAAAATAACATAATATTTTTGAACATTAAATATATTTAAATAAAAAATTATATATATTTATAGAACATTCAAGGCCATAAATATTTTCTGTAATACTTGAATTTAAATAATTAACTTACAAATATAGAGGCATCAAACAATTTAGTTTATAAGGATCGATCACATATTCACTACTATCAAGGTATCACTTTTTATCACTATGAAGGTTTAGAGGGCATCGGGAATTTTAAAGCTAGAAATGTTAAGCGACTAAAAATATTTAAGTGAAAAAAAAATTGTATACCATTCTTAATGAGATGAGATACAAAACATAATGTGATAAAAGAGCTGAGACAGGCTCAAATTAGTATAAGAATGAGTGAACTTAAAGTGTATGTTAATTGATTTTAAGGAGAAACCTCTTTTCTTTAGTATTGCATCTATTATGATAACAATAAACTAACATTTTATTATTTTCTGTAGTGTTTCGAGAAAGGATGTCTTCCAAGATGATGATGCTGGAGAGATGAGTATAGATAATGAGACAGTGGAGGAAACAGCATACCAATTGCCAGCATCTGAATTATTTGAAATGGTTGAAGTAGAACCTTCTACAACAGATCTAAAAGAAGAAGAGGAGGAAAACGATGAATTTGAGTTTCCATTATTCTCATTTGGAACTACCCAAGATACCACAACTGAGGACAAAAGTGAGACCACAGATGGAGTAGAAGTTGAAAATGGTGAAGAGGAAAGAGGACGTAGCAAGAATAAATTGATGAAGATTTCATTGAGAGAACCTTCGCCTGAAATCATTAATCAAGAAAGACCGAAAGAATATTATTTTCATATATATGATGAGGAAGAACAAGAAAAATATAAATCTAGTGCCATTGACTATGATAGCATATTTGTTGATAAAGATTTTATAGTGCAAAAACCAGGAAATAAAAATAGAGTTATAGATATTACTAAGAAAAATGATCAAGTAGAGAAAGAGTTACTTCGAGAAAAAATGCTTAAAAAGAGAAGACCTAGTAAGAAACAGAGGGTAGCAAAGAAGTTGGCATTGGAAAGAATTAAAGCCCGTGAAGAGCTAGCAAAACAGTTGAAGAAAGAGGCTAAGAAGAAACTAGGGAGACGTGGTGGGAAAAAGAACAAGAAGAAAGAAAAAATGAATCCATTGGCTAATGCTGGCGCCACACCAAGATTCAGAACAGAATGAAGCATTTCATATATATTAAAATACAAATTTTATCTGCATCTTATAATAATAAATACATACGAACGTCGATTTTCATTTATTACTTGTTAATTATTAACAAATTATTTAGATAATATACTTATTGAGCTTAGCATTATATCAAGATAATTTTCAAACGAGACATTTGTACTCTCTATATTGAACTTTTCCTTCATATTTTCGTTTATCACATTTAATATTAGATTTTTATTATTTATTAATGATTTCCCTACAGGACCACCTCTATTAATTGAAATTTCTAATTCTTTTTTATAACTATTTGATATTGAGCTCCAATATAATTCTGATAAACTTTTATTTAATTTGTTTGAACTTTGATAAGAGTAGCTTCCCTTCTTTCTCTGTAAAGAAATAAATTCATTTAATAGATTAGAATTACCATTATTTTCTAATTTGATATTTTTCAACAGTGTCTCTAAAGAATTTATAACCAATGCGTTTTTAATTACGACGTCTTTATAAACATTTGGTAAATTTTTCACAGAGTTAATTGTTTTTGACAATTGATTAGTTGTAGTTGACGCTATAGATTGGACGATTTTAGAGTAAGTATTTGTAAAATCCATTGGCGATAATATGAACAATGAATTTGATAATTTTGCAATTGGGCTATCTACGGAAGTGTTAATTGAAGTGTCATCCAATTTCAAAGACTCGTTAGTCAATGACAGAGATACGAAATTCAATAGATTTTTCTTATTTGGAATGACAATTGAAGAATTTAGATTTTTGATCAATTTTAAAGTAATTAAATTGACATTTTCATTTAATATCATTGATAATTGTGAATGGATAATTGATAATTCCTGACAATTGTTTATGGATAAATTAATTCTATTCAATTTATTTATCAAATGTACGAAAACCAAAGAATCTCTTAGTAAATTCGAGGTTTGGTGAATTTTATTTAATACATTTTGTAGTTTTTGTATTTTTTCATATGGTTTTAGAATATCATCATTTAATCTATCATAAGAGATATTCAAATAGTCTAAACTTGGTTTCAATTGCTGATCTACAGTTTCGTTAAATTGTTGTTTTTTCATGTATTCGTTTATTAAATCGATTGATCTTGATTTGATTAAATTATCAATTGAAGAATTAATTTCATTTAGATCAAAATTTAATTTCTTTAACGGTGTGTTTAAATCCAAAGTATTTATATTATTTGCAAATATTGATTGATCATTATCTTGAATTACATTTGTTGTGTTAATTAAGTCATTGGTATATTGTAAGACGTTAAAACCTTCAGCTAATAAAGATTCATCGAAATCTTCAAAAGATGTAGTTGACATTCTTGGGATGAGCAATGGGATGAAAGTGATATTATATGTTCTTTATGAACTTTATTTGGTGAATCTAATATATATAATAACCCATTAGTACGGTATTTATGGCGTATTTATTTTGTCATGAAGAATGTACAATTAATAGATATGATAATTGTGGCTACTAATGCCTAAATAACGGTGATACTAAGAATTATAGTGAATGATCGAATATTAATGACACGTTATACGAATCTTGCACGTGATACATTTTCTTAAATTCGAGTCCGGGTAAACAGTCTGTAATATATTATATAGCTAGGTTTTACACTGGCGTAAAGTATCTTATTTGAAGAACCGTTGCCCCCCATCAACTAGTTAACTCGATGCAAGATTGCTGACATTGACATCACATAGTAAGTGTGACCATGTGACTAGGGTAAGTTACTTAGAAGTGTCACACTAATGAAACTTATATATATATATATATATATATATAAGCTATGGTCTAAAAAGTGCACGCCGCTAATTCAAATAGCGACCTTAAACTTACATGTCGTACAATCGGATCAGATAAGATCAGATAAGATCAGATCAGATTAAGTTACATTAAGTTACCCTTCCGGTGGATCTTGCATCAGTTTAACTTCGAAAAAAGAAAATAGAACACGGATATATATTTACATTGCGCACCTTTTACGAGGAGAGCGTGTAGACATAAGTATGTATATATTCATTTGCCAACGGGTTGAATACACCCAAACACCTTCAATTTCACTTAATTTATTTTAATTTAACAATTTGGGAAGTTCCTGATTGGTCAATAATGCAAAAAGATATGTCCAGACAATACACGTTCTACAGTAACAATAGAGTTGGACAACTGGATAAATTTGTCCCACCAAATATATTCTCTGGTGTCGTGCCTACTTTCCACTCTTGATGAGAAAGTACCAGGACATTTCTCTGAAAAAGAAAAATGTCCCAAACCCAATCTCAAACACAAGCCCTAATAATTGACGGATAAATCCCAGATACAATCACAGTCAGCAAACAGTAAGACCATTTTGGCAGCAGCTCACAACGTTTGTGTTTTTCCACTCTATCAAGTATGAAGCACCAAGCATTAAGCATTAAGTATTAAGCATTAAGTATATGAATATAATATACAATGAGATTGTATGGATCTGTATTAAGGCATACCAGTACAAAATGTACTTGTGGTTTATGCTACCACACGCCTTCTCTACTCTACTCTTCCTCCCCCATGCATTTTCAATTTACAACAGCAGTAGCACCAACAACAGCAACAATACACCGACTGATCTTGCCCTGCAACATAAAACCCCATGCTTTCCCACGATTACACACATTAAACACACCAACCACCCCGTGCAAGAAAGCAAAACATAGCAAAACAATTACCATCCCACCTTGTTGAACTAACCTGTGTGTGTACCTCTATCTCATCATTGCATTGCATCTGGGCCAGAACCAACACCAACACCAACACCAACCCTTCAAATTACGTTGTTATCTCGAACGTAACGTAACCTACTCCATTCTATACGTATTGTCTACTTCACTTTCCCACCTGAGTTCTTTTTATGTTTTTTCGTCTCGTCACTTTCTCTTGGCCTTTGTCTGCTTCCAAAGATTTGAAATTTCATTAGTTTCTAATTGGGCATGTTCCCATATCTTATTACTTTATATATAAAGGTCATAATGATTCTATCTATCTATCTCTCTATCTATAACGACCTTCCGACTCTCTGTCTGTTCCTAACTTGTATAATTGTCTAATTTCTAGTTTCTCTTAGCTATCCAGCACTCACGCACCTAGATTCACATCTATATACTTGTTCTCTCTTCACTCATTAACTCATTTCATAATGGCTCCTCCTTTCTATAACGATATCACTAAAAATGTTAACACTTTGTTGAACAATGATTATTATCATTCTCAAGTCGCTTCTTTCGAAGTCTCCACTGTCGCTAAAAATGGTGTCAAGTTCAACGTCAAATCAAAGCAATCTACTCAAGGTGCTCCATTGTCTTCAACCATAGAAACTAAAATTAATGACAAATCTACAGGTTTGACTTTGACCCAATCTTGGTCAAATGCAAACAATTTGAACACTAAAGTTGAATTAGCCGATATCCTAACTCAAGGTTTGAAAACTGAATTGATCACCTCAATGGTACCAAACGTTTCCAAAAACGCTAAATTTAACGTCTCTTTTGTTCAACCTTCTTTCACCGCAAGAGGTAACTTCGATTTATTGACAAAACCATCTTTCGTCGGTGATTTGTCTTTGGCTCACGATGGTATCGTTGGTGGTTTACAATTCGGTTACGATATCACTCAAGGTTCCTTATCTAGCTACGCTTTGGCCTTAGCTTACAACCAATCTGACTACTCCTTAGGTTTATCTATTAACAACAAGCAATTCACCACCGTCTCTTTCTTCCAAAACGTCTCTTCCATTTTGCAAGTTGGTGCTAAAGCTACCGCTAACGTTGCTTCTGCTTCAAACGTTAACATCGAGTTTGCTACTAAGTACGTCCCAGATGAAACTTCTCAAGTTAAGGCTAAGATCCAAGATACCGGTATCCTAGCTTTAGCTTACAAACAAGAATTGAGAAAAGGTGTCACTTTAGGTTTAGGTGCTTCCTTCAACGCTTTGAACTTGAACGAACCAGTCCATAAGTTGGGTGGTTCTTTGACCTTCTCTGCTTAGGTATCTTTGAAAACAATAATGTTATGAGTTTTTTTTATGATATTATGTTGAATTAAAAACAGTCTGTTCAATTCACTTTTTGAGTATTGAATAGATATGCTTTTTTTTTATTATTTTTATTAGATCTCATTAATGTTCTTTTTTAAAAAATTCTGTATATCTCATCTACTCCCCCCCTTAGCAGGTACATAGGGTTAAGCTTAACCAGTTTCCCCATTCATGCCAATTTGTTAATAATGAAATCCAATGAATAGATTATTAGGTTAGATAATTCTCTCCCCTATATTTTGATATTGTTTATATTTACTTAAAATAGATATTCTTAACTATAAGGAATGGGTAATGTGTTAGTTCTCTATAATGAAATAGCACAATTCCATTCTCCGCTCATTAAATCGACTATTGTTCTCTTCCGAATTCCTAATTCAATTATTATATTTTTATTCTATGAAGTATACACGAATATATGTATAATATTCTTATGTTTAATCCTTCTGGGTATTATCGATTGGTTCATTGATGACTGCAAACTGTGGGATCTTATTTCTTGATATTACTAAATCTGTTTCAAACATTGTGATAAATTCTAAATCTGCATCACCTTTTAAACCTCCTGAAAATATATTGTATTCTTGATAAATTCCTGCTGTTGACCAACCTTGTAACAGTTTGCGTATTATACCAACAACAACACCTACCCTATGCTTACCTTTATTCGAATGTATTAAAATTGGGTAATTGCCAACATCTAAAACTAGGTTCAATACTTCGTTCATTCTATCTTCAATACCCTCATCTCTACAGGAATCCATAAATATATGATGATAGCTAATCTTCTCATCTTCTAGAAATTTAGAATATTCTTCTGAGATATCTTTTCGATCACCAATATATATTATAGTCCTAAGGTTAAGTTGATCTTTAATAAATGGGTAATTCAGAGGCATTGGATATCCAGAACGGTATATTGAGACATCTGTGCTTACCACAGGTGAAAACCCTAGCGGAGGTATATATTTTGGTTTAGTAGTCTTTACCATCTTGATATATATTCTTGTGATTCTTATATGAACTACGCTTGAATTGTACTAGGAAAAAAAATGTCGATATGCTTCTCTTGATCCAAGTATTAAATGTGTCCTCTTCGAAACAGCTCTAATCCCTTTTAAAATTGAATTTTAACAATTTTTTTCTTACTATCTTCAACAGTACAATGTCTACTTAAATTGATGATGTCAAGTGAAAAGTTCAAAGCTTAAAAGTTGTTTAAACACTATTCGGTCATATATATAAACCTTTCAACTATATTTTTAATTGAGTCACTGAAGTTATAAGAATACGTTATGTAAAGAGATCATCGCAAGATTTCACATTGATATACCTCATCATGTTTTTACGTTATCATATCTGCTTGATATTTGACTATAACGATAATTCGAACCGAAATTAAAAGTGATCACGATGTTGTAGCAGCGTCAAGATAAGAAACTCGATTGTTTATAAGAGAAAAATGAATTGCATGTAATGAATCTTCCATTCTTCATGTATTCATGTAACTATTATACGATATCGATAGTTGTAATCAATCTTAAATAAATATATATATATATATATAAATATATTAGTTTATGAACGTTTTCCATCAATTGATGCTATTTTTAACCTTTACGTTCCAGTGCATGTCATGATTTAAGGTTTCCTATAAGGGAAATATCTAAACAAAGATCCAAGAGGAATTCGAATCGACATTAACGATCAGATGGGGCTAAATGAAGAGAATCCGTAATCGAGCTTATAGTTTGGAGATCTGTTTGGGTTGGTTTATGGTAACGTAGAATGATTTGTTGACTAAGTGTCTATTTTATATATTTAAGTGTAAGTTGAATTTTGAATTAGTTGATTTGGTCTCAACCAACAGGAATAGTGTTCGAAATAGAAAGGCAAGAGTCTTAATGAGAAGATGAATGGTTCACTAAACATTCGTGGATTGCCTAAACTTACGACATCTACATCGATATCAGTTTCGTCAACTTCTGCGTCAAGCACTCTATCGACAACAACTTTGAGTTCAAACTCTATTATTAGTAGTATAACAACGGATACAAGTGGTACAAGTACAAGTTCAAGAGATGTCTCTTCAGGTCAAAGTACTTTGAATTCAATATCTACAACTTCAAGTATTATTGTACCTTCGATAACACCTCCTTCAGCTGCAAAAAATCCAAATGTATGGCATTCTGAGGATAGTGATGGTACTGTGTTCATAGCAGTAGGTTCGATAATAGGTGGTATATTTGGTGGAGTGCTGATATGGTGGATGATAACTTCCTATCTGTCCCATGTGAAGACTAAGAAAGCATATCACTCCGATATGGAAGAGCAATATATGTCTCATCTAAACGGAGGTTCTCCTCACAAAGTAGGCTCGTACCATGACGATAAATCAAAGATTGAAAACCCATTCTCTTCCTTTTATATGGATGATTTGGAAAGCAGCAATAAGAAAAAATATTCTAGAGTCAGTCTGGTTTCAGATAACCCCTTCGATGAAGATTTGGATTATGCTTTAGATACTACTGAACAAGTAAGATATAATCCAATTCAAGATGAAACAAACCATTATGCAAATAAAAAGGATACCTTATTCATCTCACCTACTAAGGAAGTTTTGCAACAGCAAAGACAAAGACGTGAATCGAAATTATTTGATAATCCATCGGAATTACCATCCACACCTCCTTCGAATTTTAAAACGTTGATGTTGAAACCAGAAAGAAGTGCTTCTCCTGAAAGGAAGTCACGATCACCAATACGACAACATCGTAAAAATAATTCATCGGTTCAATTAACCCCATTAAAGTTAGATAGCGGAGAAGATGATTTCAAAAAGACTCCAACCAAGAAGAAGAATGTTAATAATAGTAATAATAATAATAAACATAAGAAGACTCCTTCAATGTATCTTGATGATATGTTGGAAAATGATAACTAAATTATCTGTAAGTAAATAGGTTTTTAAAATTTAGGAATAATATGTATAGGACAATAGGTATGAAAATGGACAATTATGGATTTGCTCTTTTGTTACATCTAATATAGAATAAATATTTATAAATGGTTCATATTTATAGTTCCATTTCTAGTTGATTCATAACCAGTTCAGGCTGTCGTCATTATGATCTATTACTGACGTCAAATATCGTATCATTTCGAACGGGAGTCGATAAAAGACCATTGAATATTCAATGAGCTTAAAAATCTTGGGTAGGTTGGCTGTTAAGAGCAATACTAGTTCAAGTGATGTTATTTTAATATATTTTAACCAGTCATAGTTACAACTGTGGGCATTTCGAAGATAAACCTATTGAAGGATGAATTCCAGAGATTCTTCTTTAACTCCTTTACAAGTAGCAGTGCTAGATGAACCTGCTTTGGCAAATAATCCTGAACATTTTATAAGCAGTGATGAATATAATGGAGACGTACCCATTGCCATTGATTTTGGGTCAAACACTTTGAAGGCTGGTTATACTAATCAAGACGTTCCAAGTTTGGTCTTTCCAACAAGATTGACTCGTTTTAGAGATAGGAGATTGAATAGAACTATGACATTTATTGGTAATGATATTAGTTTGGATCAAGCAGTTCGTGCACAATCTAAGTCACCATTTGATGGGTCTATGGTTACGAATTGGGAATATATTGATGAGATGTTAGAGTACACATTTAAACATTTAGGTGTATTGGGAGATAATGGTATATCAAATCCACTTATATTCTCGGAAAAATTGGCTGTTGTTCAAGCTCAAAGGTCTCAATGGTACCAACTTTTATTTGAAACATTTAACATATCTAAAGCTACCTTTGGTATCGATAATCAATTTGCATTTTTTGCTAATAATAGCATTGATAGCACTGGTTTAATGATAGGTTGCAATAACGAAGATACAAATGTTATCCCCATAGTTAATGGGGTAGCTTCCCTCCAAGAATGTAAACGTATTAATTGGGGTGGTAATCATGCAGTCTCTTATATGAATAACTTATTGTCATTAAAGTATCCTTATTTTCCGACTAAATTGACAGATCTCCAATATCAAAAATTATACCATGATTATTGTTACGTCTCTCCAGATTATTCAGCAGATATTGATAAATATTTAACGTTAGATGTGTTGGAAGAGAAAAACATAGTTGTAGAAGCACCATTTACTGAAATTACTCAACCTCAAAAGTCAGAAGAAGAACTTCGAATCCAAGCTGAGAAGAGAAAGGAAACTGGTAGAAGGTTACAAGAACAAGCAAAACAAAAAAGAATGGAAAGGTTAATTCAAAAACAAGAAGAACTAGAGTACTATACTCAACTAAAAGAACAATTTATAGACCAACCAAAAAAGAAAATATTATCAATCTTACAGAATGCAGGCTTTGATGATGAACGTGATTTCAAAAAATATGTATCAAATCTAGAGCGCTCTGTTAAAAAAGCACACTCGGCTGAACTAGCAGAAGATGATGACGTTGATGAAGATCCATCAGCAAATAAATTTGACCTTCTTGATATTCCAGATGATCAACTGACACCTGAACAAATAAAGGAAAAGAGGGTTCAAAGACTAATGAAAGCAAATGTAGAAGCTAGACAAAAAGCTAAGGAAGAGAAGGAAAGGATCCAAAAGGAGGAGGAAGAGTTAAGGAAAAAAGAAGAAGAATGGAGACAAAGTGATCTTACTGGCTGGATCAAGGACAAGAGAGGTAAATTGAATGCATTGATTGTAAAGAGAAAGGAAAAATTAAAGATGCGTGAAGAGATGAAAGATCGTAAATCTCAAGCTGCGCAGAATAGAATGAAGAACTTGGCGACATTGGCAGAAGACAATGTTCGTCAGGGAGGCAAAAGAAATAGAGATCAGGCAACTATTGATAATGATCCAAACGACACATTTGGTGCTGATGACGAAGATTGGATGGTTTATAATGACATAAGTCAGAATCCCGAAGCTTTGGATGAAGCCATTGAAGAGGATTATAAAGATATTGTTGAAATAGAGAAAGAATTATTAGAATTCGATCCAAACTTTACTGGTGAAGATACATTAGATGCTCAATATGACTGGAGAAACTCGATATTGCACTTATTCTTAAGAGGTCCTAGGCCACATGATAGTGATGATGTACATGAACAGCATCAAATGCATTTGAATATTGAACGTATTAGAGTACCAGAAGTATTATTCCAACCAACAATGGGAGGTTGTGATCAGGCCGGTGTAGCGGAATTATGTGAAACAATTCTTCTTAAAAAGTTTGGTTCTTCTCCAAACCAATTAAGTAAAACTGCAGAAGATATGGCTAATAATATATGGTTATCAGGTGGTAATGCGAAAGTGCCAGGACTGAAGAATAGAATTGTGAAAGAGTTTACTTCATTTTTACCTGTGGGTACAAAGTTATCTGTAAATATGAGTTCAGATCCGTTATTAGATTCCTGGAAAGGTATGGCTAAATGGGCTAAGAGTGAGGATTATAATAAAAGTTTCATAACAAAAAAAGAGTATGAAGAATATGGACCAGAGTATATAAAAGAACACAAGATGGGTAACGTTGCCTATTTTGAGTAATGTAATATTGATTATTTAATAAACATATATAATGTACAAACAAATGATGTTATAAAGTTAATGAGATGTTCTATTTTTTACTGGCAGGTTTGGTTGCCTTTGGGTTTACACCCTTCTTTAACAAACCAATCTTCTTTGATTTTTCCATATATTTTTTGTCTTCATCGTTATCAAATGAAGCGAAGTCATCATTAATAATACCTTCTTCAAGAGCTTCTTCTCTTGCGGCAGCTTCTTTTTCTCTTGCACTTGCTTGGTTATCATCATGAGGAGATGGACCAATCTTTTGGAATTTGGCAACGTAGAAACCGTCAACATTATAAGTATGAGGGTAATATCTTCTAGTTAACTTCAAACTTGGGTGAAACTTCTTACCTCTAAAGCTTGTAAAACCTTCCTTACCAATTGCCAAACCAGATTCGACTAATTTAACATTAGGTCTCTTTCTTAATGCATAATCTACAACAGCTTCATCTTCTTCTACAGCTACAGAACAAGTTGAGTAAACAATAACACCACCAGTTTTAGAGTTAGCATCGACAGAATCAATTGCAGATAGTAGCAATTGCTTTTGAAGATGAGGAATTTGAATAAAATCTTTTTCGGTTCTTGAAGATTTGACAGATTGATCTTTACCAATAACACCGGTACCAGAACATGGAGCATCTAATAAAATTCTATCAAAACCACCAATAACTTTTGGGAATTCACGAGCATCATAATTACAAACTATGGTATTGGTACAACCTAAACGATGAATGTTGGCAATTAGAGATTTTGTTCTGGCCTTGTTGGCATCATTAGCAAAAACACAACCAGTATTTTTCATTAAAGCTGAAATATAAGTGGTTTTACCACCTGGAGCAGCAGCCATATCAAGAACACGTTCATTTTCTTGTGGGTCTAGTGCAACAACTGGTAAAAATGATGAGGCAGCTTGTAAAATATATTGACCAGCTAAGTATTCTGAAGTAGCACCAATTGGGACTTGAGAATCGAAAATTTGTAAACCGACTTTAGTCCATGCACCAATTGGTTGTAAATTGACACCTTTGTTGACTAAAGCTTGAGCCAAATCTCTTCTTCTTGTCTTCAAAGTGTTAGTTCTAATTGAAATTGGTCTTGGAACTTCATTTGCTTCAAAAAATTCTAAAGCTTCAGCTGGGGAAAATAAATTAAATATTTTTTCAGCTAAGAATGGGCTATAACCAAAGTAAGAACAAATATCTTTCAATAATCTATCGATATATTCGGTTCTTGATCTTCCTTCAGCGGCAAGGTTCCTGAAATCCTCTAATACCTTGACAATTTCTAAGATTCTAGTTCTTACTGCTGTCAAATCAGGTGGTTGGTCGGCCATCAATTCTAATTCTTCTTCGGTTGGTAGAATATCAGCTCTTGGTTGGTTTATGCTAGCTTCTAACAATTCTTGTTCAGCCTCCTCTGCTTCCAAAGCATCCTCCTCATCAATACGTTTCGATAGGGATTCCATGTTTGCAGCATTCAATTCTTCTAAATCAGCCTCTTCGTCATCAGAAAACATTGGATTGGCATGACCATCTTCGGCGTCTTCATCATATTCATATTCTTGTTCTAAATCAAACTCATCTTCTAAACCTTCTTTACCTTCATCTTCATCTTCGTCATCATCATCAAACAAAAGCTTCTTAGCTTCAGAAATTTCTTCTTGTTGTTCGTTTTCTTCCTCTACTTGAACCTCTTCATCTTGCTCTTCTTCCTCTGCCTCTTCAACGGCAGCTTTTTTAGATTCCTTCTTCTGCTTATGAGAGTGTTCCTTGGACTTATTATCCTTCTTATGTTTTTTTGAAGATCTAGAATCAGCACTTTCTTCAGTAGAAGCAGAACGTTTAGACTTTTCTTTAGTTCTATTCAATTTTTTCTCCTTTCTAGCCTGGAATTCATCCAAACTTGGTGGAGCACCTTGCTTGTTCTTAGCACGTCTACTACCCATCCTGTATTACTCAATTTGATTCTTACTTGATATTCGAATGTATTTAAAAATATCAAAAATAACCCAAGACCAGAATAAAGTTGGAAGCCTCGAATTTAAATACTATAAATCAAAACTTTATGTATATATATCTATTGGATACAGTAATATCTTAATTAATTTTTCATGCGATGAGCTATCTTGAATTGTAATTTTTCTTTTTGAAAAACTTTCATGATCAATGAAAAATTCTGTTCGTACAGAATTACTGAAAATTTTGAATATTTAAAAGTCATCTCATCTCATCTGATCTCATCGCTAAAAGATACATACTAATAAGTAGTGATCTATTGACAATAGATTGATGGATATTGGTGGTTTAAGGGACGGCACTGATTCATATTGATATTTTTAATCAGTTATTTTGGGTTATCAACTTTTTTCCCAGGAAATTAACCGTTTGAAGAGATTTATTCAACATTGTTTTAGATATTTTTAAGTTTGTGAGCTTTAGGTAATATTAACTATGGATCCATTGAAACATATTGTCGCTGGACAACATGTTATTTTGAAATTACCTTCAAATAATTCCAAAATAGTGGAATTAAAACCAGATGGTTCTATATCGTTAGGTAAATTCGGTTCATTTAATGTAAATGATATTTTAGGGTACGCTTTAGGTACAACTTTTGAAATTTACTATAATGAAGAAAATCAAGAGACCAATCAGACAAATAAGAACAAAAATCCAGTAGGTCAGGTCAGAGTAATTGACAATTCTAAGGACACATCTGCTAATGAAGAAAGTCGTGCTACATCTGAAGAAAATGATTTAAATTCTATGGATAGCAGTTTATCAAACAAAAACTTAATTAATGTAGGGAATGAAATTCAAAAGATGACAATGGACGAAATTGAACAATTGAAGAAGCAATCAGTATCTGGTAATGAAATCATTGCTAAGATGATTGAATCACATGGTAGTTTTCATCAGAAAACATCACACTCTCAAGAAAAGTATTTGAAGAGAAAGAAACAAAAATTTTCAAAACGTTTTACTGTAAATTATCTAAGTTCATCAGCTTTGTTGAGTTTTCTACTTGAAAAGGGTGATATTCAACGAGTCATGGATATGTCAGAAGAATCAATGGGTATGTTACTAAATCTAGCCAATATTAGAAGCAATGGTACCTATTTATGTATGGATGGTACTGGCGGTCTATTGGTTTATTTCTTACTGGAAAGAATGTTCGGCGGTGATATAAAAACAAAATTTACAGGCAAAATAGTTGTGATTCATGAAAATGAACATCCAAATTTAGACTTGTTGAAATTCTCAAATTACCCAGAAGAATTTATAAGAGATCATGTAAAAACTATATCTATTTTAGATTATTTTGAACCTCCTACAGTTGAGGAAATTCAACAAGGTTTTACGCCATTATCAAAGGAAGAAGTTCATGAGATGAAAGGAAACAGAAGAAACGCTTATTTTAGAAGACTAAAATTATATAAAGGCCAACTAGAAATGGTTGATTACGCTACAAAAGTCCAGTATGATGGTCTGGTTGTAGCTACTACTTTAAGCCTACCATCTCTAATTCCAAGATTGAGTGAGCATGTGCATGGTTCTAGACCTATCGTTTGTTATAGTCAATTCAAGGAAACCTTATTAGAATTATCGCACACATTATATGATGATTTAAGATTCCTGGCACCATCGATCGTCGAAACAAGATGTCGACCATACCAAACCATCAGAGGAAAACTACATCCTTTGATGACGATGAGAGGTGGAGGTGGTTACTTGTTATCGTGTAATAGAGTTATTCCAGCTCCTGAGCCAGAACCTGTACAAGCAAAAGGCTCGGAAGAACCCATAGAAACTCTTAAAAAGCAGAAAACCGAATAAATGTTAAGTCAATAATTTATAAATTACAAGACATTATTAGTATATTGTGAATATAAATGTAATCATATAGATTTTTTTAGTTAAAATCAAATGCATCGTTTGGATATAGGTTGTATATATTTTTTTGTTCTCTTTTCATTTACTAGGATGAATAACAGTCCCAAAATTAGAGAATATTTTTGAGATATCATAAGAACTAGAATTTGGTGAATTGACATATCCATAAACAACTCTACATTGCTTATTGGAATCGTATTTTGAACCAACGGTCCATATCTTGTTTAGAGTATTGTCATTAGATATATAATCCTTAACGAATTTCACCTGATCGATGTTCCCTACCTCATATACAAATGAATTTATATGTGGGATCCATTTTTCTAACAGATTTGAATAGAATTCTTTGTCCCCTATCAATGCTAATTTTGGCTCAAATAACTTAACCGACTTTGTAACATCTCTTTGGAAATCTGACTTAGGTATGTAAGGTGGATTGCAAGTAAGAATATCAATTTTTTGATTTGATAAAATTGAATCTATATTATTACTCTGCAGAATATCAAATTTCAAAACCTCTATATCAATTGGATCCTCTGATGATTCAAGTTTATTTCTATTGACTAAGTCAATTGCAGAATCAGAACAATCGACAGCTTTTACATTTAAATTACTATTTAAAATTTTGGAAAGTTCTCTTTTGAGGAGTAAAGCAATGCAGCCAGAACCCGTACACAAATCTACAATTGATATTTGGTTTTTGCTTTCTAAACTTTGTTTTCCATTTTTAATTGATTGGATTAAATCCATTACCCATTCTTCAGTTTCCCATCTTGGAATCAGTACACACGGTTGGCATTTTATATTAAGTGAACCAAATGGTTGAGATTTTAAAATGTATTGCAATGGTATGTGATGAAATCGTTGAATGCAAGCTTTTTTGATATTTTTCTGTAAAGTATAATGATCTGGGGCAGTTTTAGCAAACTCTTGATTGATCCATTTCAATTCTAATTTAGCCTGGGAAATAGTTCTACATTCTGGTAGTAATAATGGTAAAAATGGATTTATTTTGTATGCTTCATGGATAGTCTTAGTTGAAATGCGTGGCATTTAGTAGATTGAATTATGAATTGTGATTAGCTGTTATATATTTGAACCATGTTTTCATTCCTTTTTGATGCGATGAGTCTAACAAAAGCTTGAATTTATAAATTTGATGTACTTTTTGTATGGGGCAGAGAGAGATGGGAGAAGAAAAAAAAAGAGAGATATTATTGTACTCCGAAAATGACGTAGAGAAATGTTTTAATACCTCAAGAGGTAATAATTACAGGATATCGAAACAATACTACTGAGCAACTGCAGTTCGAGAGACATAATTCTTGTGAGGGTGTGACACTTGGCTTAAAAGAATGTAGTTTAAATTTTTAAAGTAGGTAGACAAGGTTTTAGAAAATATTTGTGGAGCTCCTTTAAGCCTTTTAAAAGTCTACTCACAGCGCAGAATAGGCAAAACTAAAAAAATTACAATATAACCAAGAATAATGAGTGTTATATAGAATGTACAATAGAGAATGATCATTAGAGATTATTAAATCAAAGTCTCTGACGCATTTCCAAATCTCTCCTTCCATTTATATATTTATATATTTATATTTATATATATATATATGTGTGTGTGTGGTTTTTTTTCTTTCGGCGGTTTCGGAAAGTTCTACGAGATCGGTTCGCACCATCCTGATAAAACGTATCTTATCTAATCTCTTATCTNATCTTATCAGGCACAACTTTTTTTAGGAACGAATGAATCTTCCGATAAAGGAGAAGTGATCTTAAACAGCAATTGTATACCAGTCGAAGTTAATTACTTTTTTTTAGAAAAACTACAAAGGGAGAAAGTAGCTTGAATACATATTTACTAGTTGAAACAATGTGACAAAATACAGGGTCCTTGCCGAACATACTATTTATCTCTTTGTACGAAAGGTATTTCGGAGAACCTTTATTACTTTGTTCGTTGAAGATTATGAATAGGAATGGTGTACCTGTTATAGCACAAAGGTACACACACACATACAGAAGCTAATTGAAGGGACAGAGAGGCAACGAAAGTTATAAAACTTGAACAATTCGAATGTTACCATTAAAATTACCCTCTCTCTTTCTGTTTCTCTCTCTTCGCTTCGCCCTGATGTGTACTCGCAGACAAGACTACTTACTACTACCATTACACATTCACTTTCATCCCATTCAAGTTGGTGGGAGTGTCCATCTAAACCTAAAAACTATCGCATTAATAATGAGACCATCATGATCTTTCTCTGTGGTCTCCCCTCCCCCTTGCCTATCCTTCCCTTGCAACTTTCCAAACACTTCGAATATAACTATTACAAAGAACCAAGAAGACTAACAAGATACTTTATTCCAATAAACTGTACACGTGATACCTTTTTCTTTTTGCCTTACAAAACTAAAAAAAACTAAAAAAAAAAAGAAAATTCCAGAAAAAAAACGAACTGGAAAGAAAAAGAAACGTTGGAAAATTTTTTTATCAATTTGGAAAAGTTTAAACCGTCTTCATCATCACCATCATCATCACCACCTTCAACTACTATATGCTTAAGCTAACGCTATATACTATAATATAATATACTACACTAAACTACACTAGACTACACTCTATACTATGCTATCATTGCTTCTTATTATTCTCCTACACCGCTCGTGAGCCAAGGACCCATCCATCAATTAATCTACCCATCAATCTCATCTTGCTACAATTATGGTTCTTTTTTTAATATTTCAATAGTATTATTAATACGTCAAACTGTTTTACGTTTGTAAAATTGATATCATTTTAGCTTACAACTTACCTTTATATATATATATACTAACATATTTCATAAATTTGTCTGTCTGTTCAAACAAAGAAAAAAAATTTGATTAGATTTCGTTGTTCTTTATTTTTTTAATCATTCCATTCATCTTGCAAGATTTTGTTTTTGATAAGAACAAGAAGTTAGTTTGAATCTTATTTCGTTTGAGTTTAAACCTATTCCATTTTTATCTATTCTATTCAATTATATTATTTAATCCTTCTCGGAGATCAAAAGAATTATCTTTTTTTTAATCCACTTAATTGAATAGTCGTCGATATTTCTATCAGGTTAAAGAAGTTTATTTAGTTTCCAAATTGAATTCATCAACATCTACAAAACGCCAAAAAATGGTCAAAGAAACAAAGTTTTACGATTTATTAGGAGTCTCTCCAAATGCTTCAGAATCTGAAATTAAAAAAGGTTATAGAAAGGCTGCTTTGAAATATCATCCTGATAAGAACCCAACTGATGAAGCTGCTGAAAAATTCAAAGAATGTTCAGGTGCTTATGAAGTTTTATCTGATTCACAAAAGAGAGAAATTTACGATCAATATGGTGAAGAAGGTTTAAGTGGTGGTGGTCCAGGTGCTGGTTTCGGTGGTTTCGGTGGTTTTGGTGATGATATCTTTTCACAATTCTTTGGAGGTGCTGGTGCATCAAGACCAAGAGGTCCTCAAAGAGGTAAAGATATTAGACATGAAATTCAAAACACTTTGGAAGAGCTTTATAAAGGTAGAACTGCTAAATTAGCTTTAAACAAACAAATTTTATGTAAGGGCTGTGAAGGTCGTGGTGGTAAAGAAGGTGCCGTTAAGAAATGTTCAAGCTGTGGTGGTCAAGGTGTTAAATTCGTAACAAGACAAATGGGTCCAATGATTCAAAGATTCCAAACTGAGTGTGATGTTTGTCATGGTTCAGGTGATATTATCGATCCAAAAGACCGTTGTAAAGAATGTAAAGGTAACAAAGTCGCTAACGAAAGAAAAGTTTTGGAAGTTCATGTTGAACCAGGTATGAGAGAAGGCCAAAAGGTTACTTTCAAAGGTGAAGCTGATCAAGCTCCTGATATCATCCCTGGTGATGTCATCTTCGTAGTAACTGAAAAGCCTCACAAACACTTCAAGAGATCTGGTGACGATTTGTTATATGAAGCTGAAGTAGATCTACTAACTGCTATTGCCGGTGGTGATTTCGCTATCGAACACGTCTCTGGTGACTGGTTGAAGGTTACCATCGTCCCAGGTGAAGTCATCTCCCCAGGTGTACGTAAAGTTATAGATGGTAAGGGTATGCCTGTCCAAAAATACGGTGGTTATGGTAACTTAATCATTACATTCAAAATTAAATTCCCAGAAAATCACTTCGCTGATGAAGCTAAATTGAAAGCTTTGGAAGATATATTACCTCCAAGAACAGAAGTTAAAATCCCACCAAAAGCTCATATCGACGACTGTGTATTGACAGAGTTCGATCCAGTCAAGTACGGCAACAACAACAATAGAAGAGGACAAAGTTACGATTCAGACGATGAAGATCATCACGGTGGTGAAGGTGTTCAATGTGCATCCCAATAAACAACTTTTTTGAAAATTACTTGTAACCCTTTTCTCTGTATATTGCTAAATATGATAAATTCTAATCTGTACTTCTAATTCGATATCAAAAAACATTGGGTTTAATATAATACGTTAAGGATTATATATACGTTGAAAAATAATAGCATTCTATGTAAAAGTTTATCTGATTGTTTCTTATACAATTATGTATAATATAGTTTTTTACTATAATACTGAAAGATCGTGAAGAAAAAAGCGTCATATTTTTGAATATATCATAATAATTATTTAGTAATGTTGACATATTTATAATTTATCAAATGGATGGAAAGAGTGTAAATTTGGAATATTAAGGAAAAGAAATTAAATTTAGTTGTTTAATCAATTTCTCAGTAATGCCTCTTGTTTTGTTCTTAAATATGACAATTTTTTACCATTTCTGACTGGAATTAAAAGAAGGAAAGATGACAGTCCAGTTATACCTGCCATAAATGTAAATACACCACCATAAGTCATACTCTGTTCCATTCTGCTTAAAACACCAATAAATAGAGCGGATAGCAAACATCTAGTTAGATTTAGGCAACCAGTCGCAGTAGACGCTATCGATGGAAATAGGTCAACACATAGGGTTGTTGACATTGTTAAAATACAGTTGGAAAATAAAGAAGCTATACCACTAGTAACTAAGACAGCAGCTAATGGAGCTTTACTTTTTATACACCAACCGTAGGCACAAAACCCACAGCTACTAATTAGTAATGTTACAAATGCAGGTTGTAATCTTGCTTTGCATATATTAAACGTATAATAGTGATTATTGTTAATAATATCATGAACTTTTTCAGGGTCTTTATATTCTTCCAAAAGCTCTTTTTTACGTTCCTCTAACCATATTTTATATCTTGCATATTTTTTTTTATAGCTCCAGTTTAAATACCTGCCACAGCTTATAACACTAATTAGTGTACAGACACCTGCTGGTAAGAAACATAGACCAATTTTAGCAACAGACAATCCATAATCCTTACTTAATACAGTACTTAATGCTGTTTGGTGAGTGGTCCACATTGAAAATTGTAAACCAGACACGATTAATAAGATTGCAATTTCTGGCACTTTTAATACTTTGAAAGGAGCAAACAGATTTAATGGAGATTTGGGTTCCAACGTTTCGTACTCTGGGTTGTCGAGATGTAATTTATTCTTCAAATAAGGAAGGGAAAGTATTGGTGCTCTATTGACATAAGGTCTTGGACGAATGGAGCCGTTTCCTACCAAAGTTCTTTTAGTTTCCGGTAAGACGATAATAGAAATCATCAAACATATACCTGAACCTATAGTTAAAAACCAAAAGATGGATCTCCAACCCCAAGTTGAGGATAGACCAGCACCAATCAAAGCACCAAATGCACTACCGATGACAATGAACCCAGAGACATAACCTACATAAGCGCCTCTTTCAGCACGAGTAGTGATGTCACCACAGATTCCACTATTGATGGCAATTACTGGTGAGATACCAGCAGCTTGTAGACATCTTAAAACAACGATTTGTGTATAGTTTTGGGATAAAGCTAAACCTATACATGCACAACAATAGACTAATATTGAGAATAAAACGACAGGACGTCTACCTAATGAATCGGCTAAACCTCCCATAAAGGAAGGAGCGAGACCTTGAAATATAAAGTAAACTACAACTGTAATATTAACTAATTCTTCAGTAATATTAAATTTCTTTTCGATGACTGTTAAAACAGGATAATAAATTGCACCAGCTACACTTGAGAAGAAACCAGTAAAAGCACACTGGATTATTAATAAAGACTTTTCGGTCCTACCAAATCGTGAATATGGAGGAGAATCGGTAGTGTTTGGACCAAGCTTTACAGATTGGGTTTTCATGATATGTAGAGAATCTATTATATCGTCATCGTCATCGTCATCGTCATAGTTATCTCGATCAGCGGTATGGAGATCATTCTCCTTTGATATTATCGATGATTTGTCTATTACACCGTAGTCGGCTAAATCTGTTGAAGATAGATTCTTTTTTATAGGGTAATCTGATTGATCCATATGGTAATCGAGGTTTGCCAGACTACTTTTATTATCATCACTCATGATTAGTTGGTATATGTGAGGGATTTTATTTGCTTTGGGGATATTTGGTCTTATGTATATGTAGAATTTTACCTTTCCAAAATATCTTGTCCAATTTTACTGGTAGAATAGCAGTTAACCTCTAAATAAAGATGAGATGTAAGATAGTTATTAACTCTGCCGCAGTGAAGAGATGTAAAAGTGTATGGCAATGATAATAATTCAATAATAAAATCAAAAAAGAAAGATAGAAAGAAAAGCTAATATTAATTTAAAACCAATGAAAAAATAAAAACTAGAAATATATTGTCCTTATATATCTTTATAGTTTAAGAAATTTCAGCCTTCAACCGGTATTCTACCTCTCCTACATATATATATATATAGCTACATACCTATTTGATATATGCGTCTCTACTATGTATGAGCTCTTATTGCTGAACCTTCGAATCAAGTTCGAAAGAGAGAGAAAAGTGCCGATGATGGATTCTTTCCTTCACTTCATTCAACAGTAATAAGCAAAGATATGATTAGATCTGTAAGAGGAAGTTTCTCACAATATGTGTGCCATCCATATATTCCAAGATATTTTCATTTTATGCCTTATTCCCATCTTTACTAATGTTTTTCTGTGCTGTTTCCTTGGTAATTTCCGCTTCCGCATTAATAAATCACCGAGATGTAGGTTAAAATTTTAATTTATCCGATTCTAGGTTTTTGCTCATTAACTCTCTCTGGTTATTCTACAAGAAAAATCAAATAACCAGTTTCGAAATTACAATAATAAATAAGCTAGTGACCTTATAGTTATAGAATATCTCTATATAATTTAAGTTAATATGTTGTAGATTACAAAATGGTAACATATTGAAATAAAATTAGGTATCATAAGAGGTTGTATGTATGATTTATTGTAAAGTTTCTAAATTTCGTTGTCCCAATTCCTACTCCATTATCCATCGGCGTATCTATATTTATGGAAATAAAGGTTTCAATGTGAATTGGATAAGTAAAATTTAAAATAGTCTTTTGACTATCATTAAAATAACTCCTAAGTTTGTCGTGTGATGCATTATTTAAATTATTGTTCACTAGAATATATATAAATATATATAGACATTAGAAACAAGAGATTCAAATTCATTATTGCTATGGAGTTGCCCTGGCATTCGAATAGTTGTTAACGTCACCAATTGGTGTGATTGAGTTCAAATTGTTTTACAAGGATGATCAAGAAATAACATCACCAACTTGTTAGTGAAAGTATAGCAGCGAAAAATTACTTGGGGATTTAACAATTCAGGCTCTTGTCTTAGCGGGAAACAATAGACCGTTATTAACAAGTAAGGAGCACTATGTTTCTTGGTAATCTAGTTTGTTATTAAAGAAACGGAAAAATTCGGTTAAACTTCAATACAAAGTACTTACATCATGGTAAGAATATCTTTTGTACAATTATTGTCGTCATCAATTTGTTCTTGATTTTTCTTTAATTTCTTTTTCCTTGTATGCATCCACCTATCTTCGGAAATGTTAGCCTAAGCATTCCTCCATATTCTTACTCTATCCTGACTTCATACTTTCTAAAAATAATAAAATACCTACTGTTTCACTACGTAAGTTCCTATTTAAGTGGTGACTCAAATTTTAAACAAGGATATCAAAATTTCTATTTCTGATTATCAGATATCATCAATCAAATGATGTTAAATTTCAAAAATGGTAAATAAACTAAAGTAGACGAAGTCTTATGTTGCATAAGGATTCAATTATATTCCTTCTTCCCTTTTCGTGCTTTCTTGCACTAATTAGTATCAATGTAGTATAATTGCGTATAAATTAAATTCGGAAATTAATTAAACAATGAGCTATGTCATAATAATGTTATAAAATATCACAATGCTTCTTGTAAGTTCACAATCCGCATTTAATCATTAGTACATCGAGAAACCAAATGAATTACTGATGTATTTTTTGAATCTAAAGAAATATAATTGGTTATATTTTTAAGACATCTAAATATTTCAGAATATATACATTTCTCAAGTTGTTTTATAACGTACTCATTTTAGATTATCAGTTAACTATATATGCCCTTGAACAGTAATTATAAAAATTTGTGCGTTAAAGATAATATCTAAAATACGTTAATGATATGTCTGTCTTTATACTATATTATACTATTATTGATTGTCAGTATATCTTAGTAGTCTCTCTTTTGATTCATTTACGTTCTGAAGTTGAGACATGTTTGGGTTATTGTAACCATTAGATCCCCACTTCGACTCCACATATCCTTTAAAATTGGTAAATGGAAGAGTGTTGAAATGGGAATATTGTGGTGATGGTTGTAAATTTGATTCTTGTTGAATATTATGTTCTCCATTACTATATACATGATTCATTGCCCCAATTTTGGGTAATTGGACAGATAATTGAGAATGCTCTGAATTAGGGGGTAACTCGATAGTGCCATTCGATACCTTTCTCATTGTATCTTTCATTGGAATAGGTCTTCTTGTAATACTATTATTACCAATTGAAATTGTGGGGAGTGGATTTGGTACCATTGACCTTTCAGATTGGTGAACTTGTGAAGGGATATAGTGGTTAAATCCTTGTAAACTATGATTTCTCATTTGTTTGAACGATGTTACATTGTACTCATTATGTTTTGGGAAAGCTGAATGCTGAGAAGTAATACCAAAAGAGTTTGTCTCTGGAGCATTAAAAATCTCTTTCTGGGTTTGACTTTCATTTAATATTATGGGTCCTTTTGGAGTTAAACTTCTGTTTTTTTCTGTTACTTCCTGTTTTAACTTTGGCGTCATAATATCTCTATATGAATAATCATTGTTTTTAATTACTGACATTTGCCTGATTTTCTTTGTCTTTTCTTTCTTCTTTATTCGTTTCTTAGCTGTAGAGTCGGAATTTACTGGCGTCATTCTTCGCTTAAAAGATGGATCATTATTACTGTTGTTGTTGTTGTTACTATTATTATTATCTTTCTGTGATGAATTCGTTTGGGAATTGGCTTCAACTGGCTCTACCCACCTTTTTACTTTTAGTTTATCTGATTTTATAAAAGCTTCCTTCTTTTCTTTCTTTTCCTTCTTGTGGGTCTCCATAATTGGTGGCGATGGGATAACATTTGGATGCTTAATAACTGTACTTGGAGTATTATATACGGTACTAGTACCTAAACCTGGGCTTTCTTTATTGTGTACCGTATTGCAAATTGCTTCTAAAATTTTGTTAATGGTAGTTTCTGAAAATTTGTCGCTTTTTATACAAGATTTTGTTATCGATCCTAATAAAGCTAGATTGGATTTTCTTAATTCTTCTATCTCTTTAAACTCTTTTGCAGTCTTAAACTCTAAAAATCTGAAGAATAATTCCTCAGAAACATCTGAGTTACCTTCAATATCAGTAGCATCAAATTCTTTTAGAATTCTTTCTTTCAAACTTGACATTTTTTTGGGTTGCGGCTCTACCATAGAAACTGGCATTTTTTTTATATCTGACGGACAAGCATTAACAGACATTGAGGATAGTAAATTAAATTGCTAATCCTATAGTATAGTAATCTTTAGTAACTTTAAACTAAGAATTTTAAATATTACTTGATATGTTACTTTATCCTTCTTTTACTATCAAGATTATGAATGACACTGAATTTAAATTGATTAATTACATACAGAATTCGAAAATAAAAACCTTAGTGAAAAGAGAAGTTCTAATTCTAAAATCCCAATTAATTTATATAATTTGAAAAGGTCAGCATCTTCACCATCATAATATAATAAAATATATACTATCAATCCAGTATAACAAAGATAATAAATAATTAAGATCTATGAATTTAGAGACACGGCCAAATTAAGTCCAAGCTAGGAAATGTATCTCAAAATTAGATATCAGAGTAGGGGAATATACTCTATCTTCAATAATAAGTCTAAATCGGGCTATCATATCATTGATTTTAAGAAAACAAATACCTGTTCTGACATTTTTCTACATAAATAATCTATTGTTTTAGTTTTATAAACGTCTTTGTAGATTTTCATTAAATTTCGGACCGAAATTGGAAACTTTAAAATTTGGTGAGGTGAATATTGACCTGTCAATTTCGATAATAGACAGATCTTGATATCAAGAATGTCCTAAAGTAAGTTCCGTAGTATTTAAGGTAAATTAATTAACAAAAGTGGATGAGATCCATCACAGAGTTCAAGAAACTTTTTAATTTAAAGGTGTTTCTGATTTTTAAGGATACCTGATTAATTCAAAAATGATACAAACTGATATTCTCAACAAAAATTCTCATGGAATAATTAAGACTTTGAACATCTAAAGAAAACATACGTCTTTAGGATTTTCTTGTTTTTACCAGTTATGATTATTATGATTAGGTAGGAATCTTATTCTGTTGAATATTTTCATGCAATTAATCGGCCTTGGAAAGAAGAGAGGTCTTGACACTCGACTATATTCACCTGGACAACAGACTTCAAGATGTAAAGTTCAATCAGTTTAATCACAGTTGTAAATCAAAAGATGACGATATAAACGTCCGTAAGAATAATAACGTAGAAACTTTTAAAGACTCTTTTTTTTTATAAAATCAACGATGTATTATAGTTTAATGTTACAAAATTTGTCTCTTCACAATGGGTATACAAATATATAATATCAAACTCGATAACTATACATAAAATAAAAATCAACAAAAATTAGTTCCCAAAATAAAAATATAAAAAGTCCATGAAAAGCATATAAATTGATCAATTAATAAGCCTTAAGACAAAAGTAACTTTGAAAAGGAAAAAAAGAGGAGTGTCTTTAACTCAGCACTTACGCTTAGTATAAGACGAATTTAGCTTGACCCTTGGTTACTGCAACAGTACAACCATCAGAACCACCGCTGTAAGAACCGTTTTCGTAGTAACATTCACCGTTGACGACAGAGTTAGAATCAGCAGCAACGATCTTGACATTGAAGTTAGCAGCTTGTTTGTTGTTTGGATTTGGGATCAAGGACAAGTAAGAAATACCGTTAGTGTAACCAGCACCGAAGTTCAATGGAGCCCAGTTACCAATACCAGAACCTGCAGTACCCCAAACACAACCATCTTCAACAGAAACACCAGCGTTGTTGACGTAGTATTGAGCTGAAGTCTTTTGACCTTGCCAGACGTAGTAGTTGTCTTGGTCGACAACAGTCAATGGAACGGTAGAACCAGCATCAACCCAAGTTGGGATATCCATGTTTTCGGTACCTGGATAATCGGTTCTACAGATAGCAACACCTTGACTCAATTCAGAGACAACAATAGCAGAGTCAATACCCCATTCACATAAGTAATCGGTGTCAGTGTTAGATCTGTACAAGTAACCATTCTTACACAACAAACCACCAATAGATCTACCATCAGATGGTTGATTAGATGGCCATTGGGTCTTGGACATACCTGGTTGACAGGCATAAGAACAGTAAGAACCTTCTTGACAAGAACCACCTGTAGAAGTGTCACTGTTTTCAATACCAGACCAACCATTTTGGTTCATCCAGTCGACGGAGATAACACCTTGACCGGCTGGGAAGCTACTACAAGCAATAGTACCATCTTGGAACTTTTGGTTTGGACCAGAATAAGAGCTCAAGTCACCCATGATACCGCCAGAGGAACTAGAGCCAGAGTTGGAGCTGGAACCGGAGTTGGAAGCAGCAGAGCTAGTAGCAGCAGCAGCAGTAGAAGAAGTAGCTTGTTGTTGTTGCTCAGTGGTAGAAGTAGTTTGAGCTTGTTGTTGTTGTTCAGTGGTAGAAGTAGTTTGAGCTTGTTCTTGTTGTTCAGTAGTAGAAGTGGTTTGAGCTTGTTGTTGTTGTTGTTCAGTGGTAGAAGTGGTTTGAGCTTGTTGTTGTTGGGTAGTTGGAGCCAAAGTAGAAGTTGGTGGAACCCATTGAGCGGAACTGGTGGTTTGAGCAGCAGCAGCTTGACCGATAACATTACCGTTTTCATCGACAGTGACGGTTTCGTAAACGTATTCGACGGCAACGGCTCTCTTGTGGTGATGGTTACCAGTTAGAGTAGTGGTGGCAGCATTGTCATTACAGTCCTTAGCCAAAGCAGAAACGACGGAGGTACCGATCAAAGAAGCAACAGCGATGTTTTTAGCAGCAGTAGAAAATTTCATTGTTATGTTTTAATTAAACTGTAATGAAGTAATAATAGTAAAAAAAAGGGAACGATAAAATAAATTTATTAATTTATTTTATACTCTTTTTTGTTATTATATTAAATGAATGTTAGTAAAATGATGTGCTTTAAAGGTTGGTAAACTAGGGATTGAACAAACAAGTCCAATAAGAAAGAAAGTTGGGACCTTGATTTATTTTTGATTCATCCTTGGAACATTGTTCTAATGATATATATCAGTTGAATGAAATTAATATGATAAGATAATTCAATTTTGTTCTAATTTTGTTAATTGAAGAAAAAAAAACTCAAGTTGAGTTAAAAATTGAATCAACTCTTATCAAATCAAATCAAATCAAGCCAATACAAGTCATATCGAACTAGGGAAAAATAATTTGAATCAAAACGTATGGAAGATTAAACTTGAACCACATTGATCTAAAACCAAATATCAGAAACGCGAAAGTTAAGTTATTTCTATAGATAGTTAAAGTTCTATCCAGTTTCCTAATCGGGAAATTTACATAAATTACATCAAAAATTCAATAGTTAAAACGACACACACTCAAACCGTATAGAATCTATCATCAAAAATAAAAATGAAAAAGAAATTCAAACTAAGTTACTCAAATCTCCAGAAAAAACGATGCATACCATTTCGCTTTACTTGTGCGAAATGGACAGTTCGAAAAACTTTGAGAAATCTTTCTAGCAGTTAAAAAACAACTGAGGACGCATGTTAACTACTAAAATCAGCTACAAATTTATTTCCTGATTAGGAACATACACGTCTTTCCTTTTTATTTCCAGTAATCCCAGTGTAAACTGCGCGAACAGAAAAACACACCGATGAGTGAAAAATAAAAACTGACTTAAAAATAGTAGTGATTCTGCCGAAACGAAAAAATACAGTTATCATCATTTCTTAAAAAACATTATCTGCTGGTTAGGAGAAAAGAGAGATTGAAGAATTTCAGCAAAACAAAAATCTAATCAATTCAAAACGTTTCCACTGATTTCTTAATCTCTTCGTTCTTTCTGGTAATTAAACCAGCAACAATTACCAAAAGAGGTAAAATGTAAAACGCCAGCCAGTTAAAAAAAAATTTAATAATAAAAAAAATGAGCTGTGTTTCTCGTTATAAATGATCACGCATGTAGCGCATATCATGAGATTTTATCTTGTATTCATTTCTTCATTTGGATACTTTTATTAAATCGCCAATATGAACGGGTAACTGGTGTAACTAACTTTAAAACACTGACAGATGTATCTATTAATTAGATACTTACACCAGATGAAATCTACTTACTCAGGATTTCAATCCAAATAAGATTAATAATAGTAGTAGTTATGATATATCTTGGGATGGAACAGATTCTAGTGACGATGAATGTGGTTGAACTATGATTGAATTTTTAAGGTACCCGACTATCCACATGATAGTTTCTTTCTTATTGTAACATGTTGGTGAGTTCTAATATATATAGCTTTTCGTAAATTGTATTAAAAAAGGGGGAAATAGTAAGTTATACATACTTTCAAAATCAAAATGTGAAAATGTCTTAAAGACTCAAAAAAAGTTAATTGATAATCCAAACAAAATATAAATTTAAAAGAATAAAAAAATAAGTAGAAATTGATAGATTTCTTTTCTTAAATTAAAAATAAAGGAATGTAAATAGTTGGAAAATTAAGCTTATTCGAGGTTAAACTTTTGGTTTGATCTCTTGGGTCTTTCTAAATATGCAAAGATAGAAGAATAGAATGAACTTTAAAACAATTTAAAGGTTCTTTATAAATGAAATAAAAAGCTAAATTTCAAGAAATAAAGATATAAATTGTTCTAATAATAATAGTAAAATTAGAAGTAAATAGATTTAAATAGAAAATGAAATCAAGATGTAAGTAAATAAAGAAAAAAAATCTAAAAGTCATGTGGAGTTAGGAAGCAATCAAGACCGTGTAAAAAATTAAATCAAGGAAGTTTCGTAGTGTTTAAATAACAACTGCCAATTGACGGAAACGAAAAAAAAATTTTCCTTCCTCTTGATAATTTCCTCTTCAATAAAATGATCTATCTACTAACAAATAAACTTGAAAAAAGCAAATGAAAACCCACAGTAACCAAAATAAATAGCTGTTTGGCAAGATATTCATTAAAATCAGATAATTCCAAGAGAAAAATATTATACTTCCAATTAATCCCATAAGAATGATACTAGTGCAAGCTCCCAGGATCTATTGTAACCACTCAAAGTCAAATATTGTTACAATTTAATTTCAATTGAAGGTAGTACTTAAAAAAGAAATTCTCTATTCGAACCAGATCGAGCGTGCTGACAAAAATAAATGTACGAACGTTTTACAAGACTGAAGCTTCGAGCAATAGAAAAAGAAACGGTAAGCCAGAGATGAATAAATAAAGACAGAGAGAAAGGCAATAGACAAGAGACAAAAGACAAGTGAGAAGAGAATAAGACTGTTGAAAATTTGTACTAAACCAGAAGGTTTAATGAAATATGTAAGCTCTGCAGGAACTAAGCATGTTTTAACTTCATGTTAAATACTAAACAATACAGAAATCAAAAAAAAAAACATCGTAGCAGAAATATTATATCAGTGTTATATTTTCTTTTTGGTCTTTCTCCCATTAGTGATCTTTTCCTTGTGCTTACTGATAATACAAGATTGAGAACCTTATTCAATTACGTATTAGATATAGGTGCATAAGTTTTTCTCTCTTTGGTATTTTTTCTTCTTTTTTACTGTTTGAGAAAGGTTGGTACTGGTACATTAACATCCTAATTTGATGTTTTAACTAACGTAGTTATTTTGTCAGATTTTCTTAGTGATAATATGAAGAAAGTGTTGAGTTGAACAAACTCAAATAAAATATTATGCCTTTCGATCAATCTAAAATCAAACAGGAAATACGTTGGGTGTCTCTTTGATTTCTTGGTAAATTTGAATTATCTAATTTTAAAACACCTACATATTGTTATTGGTTAACTGAACCATATGTAGAAATGTCGATTAATATTATATTCTTTTAGGCCGTACGAGTTAACTTCTGGTATCATTTATGATGAGTTATCTCTTTGCACTATTCCTTTTTAATTACCAACTTTGTATAGCTCCTTCCCTCTGGTATGAAAAAGGAGTTGATCTCTTTTTCATAGTGACTTTAGGCCAGATCAGAATATGTATAATAATGATGCCTTTGTGTAATATTTTCTTCACGACTGAACATCCAAATATCGTATCATTTTCTAGATTTTTAAATAGTGTGCAGAATTTATCAATTCAAACAAAAAAACCATTCGTCTCTTCTTACATGCAAAACAACTGCATAATCTTAACTCGTAATAGTTGCATAACGCTTAGTACCTCAGAATTGTTAATCAATGTAATAAAATTATGGTTTATACTGCTGAGTCCACCTAGACTCAAGTAGTTTAATCCTTTGCTTCCAACATTGCCAAGCTTTAAAATTACTAAAAAAAGAAATATTAACCAATCGTACCAAAATTATCGCTTTATTCATACAGAAGAGAAGGTCATGAAAATAGGATAATGAAACGTAAAGAACTGGCTCTTTATTTAATTGAGCACTAGCAACGTTTCATCTAACCAAAAAACAATCAGAATAACTGAATGTTTTGGCCAATATGATGACGTGATCAATAATCACGTCATCATAAAACCTCTACATATCTTTATTTAGATATATACAACAATGAATTGTTGTCACTAATATACACTTTAAAACCATTATATATAATGGATTGATTGAAATTAAAAAAAATGATTACCCATGAAAAATTATTTGTGAAGATGTAAAAAAAGATTAAAATTCAATTCAGAAATTTAACTTACAATTCTTCAACAATACAACCCTTGTGGGAAACGTAGATACCATCTAAGAACTTACGGATATCCTTGTTTCTGACACGACAGATTTGTTGGATGTCAGCAGCGTTTTGGGAAACATCTTCGACAGAGTTACCAGACAAAACGATTTCATCCTTTTGATTGGTAGAGAATTCAACATCGACACCATCTCTGATTGGGACTAATCTGACCTTCTTGTCACCCAAGAAGTTTCTGATTTCAACGAATCTCTTACCATCTTGTTCAACAGTGTTTACGTTGATTGGGAAATGCGCGTAAACGTATCTCATCTTGTACTTGTAACCCTTGGTGACACCAGTAATCAAGTTGTCAACTAAAGACTTGACGGTTCTCAAAGCAGCAACGTGCTTTCTGTCACCGTTGTGGACAGCAACCCTGATCAATCTAGAGTCAATCTTGTTGAAAGTGACATCAATGTGCTTCAAGTTCTTGACCAAAGTACCTCTTGGACCAGTAACCTTAACAATTCTAGCCTTGATGTAACGGTACACCCTTCTGGACGTTAATGGGATTGTTCAGTTTGAATGTACTTCATTTTTTAATTAGCAGCAATCTTGAATACTGGTTTCTGTATAAAAAAGACTTTTGAAATAAGAATTAATTATAATTTAAAAATAATACAATAAATGAAAGGAATAATTATTTGAAGATAACTGAAGAAAAACTGTCCTCTTATATAATTATTGATGAACACAATGAAAAGTGAAAAATTTTCGAATTGTCGACAAAAAGTTTGATTGAAAAAATTTTTCACTCATCGAAAATTGAAAAATCCAAAAGTTGCGTGGGTTGGGTTCGCTATGTGTTAAAAGTTTCCACCTCGCCTTTCGCTATTTTAGGAAAAATTCAGTTTTAATCGAATTAATTTTATTAGGAGGAAAAAAAATGATTTCAAGTTGTTTATTTCGTTTTATATGATAAGTAATAGACAATGAGACTGAAACATTTGAGCATGGTAGGGTAAGTGTTACTTTTCGTGATTATATCACGTGATTTATATTGATAATGTTACCAGGTAAGTTACTTGAGCGGTTATATTATTAAGATAGTGTCACAAGTTTGATATCTCTTAGCAAGTGATCAAATGGATAATATGAGTGAAATAAAAGACAACTTGATATAATTGTCATTGGTTAAGTGAACTTAGGAATATCCATATGCTGAAAGAACAACTACAACGACATTAAAATGAATAGGTCGTTAATCTTGACAGAAAATATTTGATCTCTATATAGTCTCTATCTATAATTGGAAATGATAAATTATGTACATGTAAACCAATTAATGGTAACATGGATGTAGACATTAAATTAATTAAATTATCAGGTATATGATATTCATAAAAATACTAAAGTATTAAATCAAACACAACAATGGCCGTGACTGTAAAAATAGTGAAATTCCTTAATATCAAAGGAATCCTAAATTACTAAATTAATATATTTATATATTTATATACTGATTATATTTCAGTAGCAGAACAAGAAATTTTATTTGTAACAACTTGTGTTTGATTTGTGAATTATCATCAAGTAAATAAAAAGAAAATGAATATGTTTTTTTATTGCTTTGTGCTAATTCATATTTTAAAAGAGTTGTTGATATTTTTCTTGATTTGAATATCTATTTTAGTTAATGTTAGTGAATTATATTGGAAAATATTTTTTTTTACGTTTAGGTAAGACGTTCAAGAACCGTATGTTTTAACAACAAAAGGTAAATTAGTGACACTAAATATAAATTTTACTCAGGATATATTAAAGATTATAGAATACCCCAATCCCTCAAAGAAATACCAAAATCAACCATGAAAATAATCTAAACATACAAGAAACCCATTTCAAGACCACTGAGCTAAATTTTAGTATTAAATTAGAATTATATTGTTTTCTAACTTCAGTTAATTACACAAAATAAAATAATAAAAAGTATTTGCTTATCAATTACAACCCTCACGAATACCCCACATATTTACATATACATACAAATACAAATACAAGAAGTTTATATCTACAATGATAACTTTAATAAAGTAGAATACAAGGATGGAATATTCCCATCTTTCCTAAATTAAAAAAGACCAGATTAATCAACAAGCTTTTAGTTAGTTATCCTCTAAATGGAAGCAACAATTTAATCTCCTCCTCTCTTTATCAATACGGCAACATTTTAAACTGTGACAAATCAACTTTCATACCAACTACAGTAACAAATTCGGTCTATCGTTGCTAGTTTAACAATGACTTCAACATTGTACTAAGACAAACCCTTGGTTAGTTATTTCTCTCTCTCTCTCTCTCTCTCTCTCTCTCTCTCTCTCTCTCTACTATACTCTCCCTTACCCATAAACTAACTACTGATACATCTCCAAAATGCTATCAAATTTTCGAAACCGACCGATATCAAATCCTACATATCTTCAACATAAGTTATGGTAGTAACTAATGTGTGAAGAAATACGTATATCAATCTCGATAGTCATTATGCACGTAAGATCGAAATTTAATGTTTATAATACTTGATTAGATCAAATATAATAATAGAAACACAAAGGATGCGAAAAGTTCAAAAACTGTTATTTAAACATTAAAGGGCGTATCTTATACTGGAATTGACACTCTTTTACAGATCTGACCCTCTATTGGCGAATTAGGTATCTTTAGAGATATTCTTTAATCGCAAAAACATAGAAGAATCTATCAACTTGAAATATTATTTTATTTCACCAGAAAAATATTTCAAAGGTTATTAACCGAAATATTAAGAGAAGTATTATTCTATCCACATCTCTCTCTCTTTTTTATTTTGTTTTATTTGATTTGAACTTCAATTGGCATTTTTCGAAATAAACTATATTCTAGATAAATTTAAATTCATTCATTGGTCAAATTGCAGCTTGAAACGCTTTAATAATAAAGTCACTTCTTTGATCCTTTTAAGGCACTGTTAACATTTATAAAAATTATAGAGTAATGAACTCAGCATTCACTTTCCCACCCCAAGGAACTCCTGATGAAGGCTTTAAAATACAAGTTGTCGATACCAATAATGATAACAATGTTGTTTCTCAACAAATAGAGACATTCCAATACCCTGCAATAGATACCACGCCTTCTATTCCTATAGATGAAGATTTCGTCAATCAAGAATTACAACAAGATAATGGGATAAATATGTCGTCTCCAAAATTAATGTCACCAACTATTAACATACCCACATCCTTAGATTTTACAGATAATCCAACAACTCCAAATCTAACGAGTAAAAATGAGAAAGGCGCTAAATTTAGTATCGGTGAAACAATAGTAGAAAATAAAGTCGAAGTTACTTCAACTCCAGAACATGCAAACAAGTCAGTTACAGAAGCTTATGTTGAAAACTTAAGACATCAAATGGCTACTGATTGGAAAAGTCCTTCTGAATATGCATTACATATTTTATTCACAAAATTTGTGCGTCATGCTGAAACAAAATTAAACTTGTGTTTAAAACATCCAGTGGATTCAGAACCTCCAATTGTTGATATACTGGGTGAAGGAGTGGATTTAGAATTTGATAAAATAATAGAATCATTAGGACACATAGCGAAAAATAAACCAAAACCTGTCATTGACGCAATGATGTTTTGGAGAAAGACAAAATCAGAAATAGCCATTATGGCAGCTGAAGAAGTTGAAAAAGTAATTCAAGAATATGAATTAGAACAAAACCAGCTGTCAAAATATAAATCAAACCAATCATTTTCTGCATCATCAAATAAATCAAAGTCCCATAAAAAAACCGCAAGTAATACTAGCAGATTTTCACATCAGAGAAATAAATCATCAAAATCATCATCAAGTAGTAGAAACGGAATCGAGTCCTCAAATTTAAGAGAATTAGAATCTCGAATTGAAATCGCAAAAGAAACTGCCTTCCAAGCAGATAGAAAATCATTAATTAGCATTTACCTTCTTTGTAGGGTATTAATAGACATTGTGAAGCAAGCTCCAGAAAAGGGAGAGGAAGAGTTAAATGATAAATTAGAAGAAATAGTATTTACCCAATTGAAAACCACGGATCCAATATCCATCTCATCAAGCATAATAAAATCTTCCAATTGGAATGCATTTGCAGAATTATTGGGGTATATGTCTGAGAAAAAATTTGTTTCAGTAAGTGACAGGTTTATTTCAGATCTAGAAAAATTACCTCCTCAAATATCAGGACAGGCCGAGCCTGGTATCCATTTGTTAATTCTAGGTATGAGATACATAAAGTTAAAAAATTATCCACTTGAAAAATTCGAAGAAACGGCAGAGTTCATGAGGAGTATAGCAAAGTTTTTCTCTAAAACAACCAACATATCAGTCAAATTAGCATATGCTGAAGTAATAAACCAGTTACTTTTACCATTAACAGGATCATTGTCGGCTGAAGTAAATCATCCGATATGGGTAGAGACAGTAACTTCACTATTAAATACAGCTATAAAATTACAAAATGATAACAAATACTGGTTAAGTGGTTTCAAATTAACTGTTTCCATTTTATGTGCTTCACCTCCGGAACTCTTCACAAAGCATTGGTATTCATTAATTGAGAAAAATGCAAACACAATTAAAACAAGGAGTTTGCAAGGCCGAATAACATTTGCAACAGGTCTATCACGTTTAGTTTGGGTATATCTTTATAGATGCCCTGAAACATTGAACAATACCACAAGAAGATTACAGCAATTATTAGAACTTTATGTTTCTGGCCAGAAGAAAAAAGAAAATTGGATAACAACTGATTTGGAATTAATCAATCCACTCTGTGACGTTTTAGTTACAATAGGCCATTTGCATCCTAATATAGTACTTGAAAGTGCTATGTTACCCTTAATCAAACAATCATTCAATGGATCCTCATTAAATAACATAAGTTATGAAAAACTGATATTGGTGATAAATACATACAAAGGACTTCTATTAACCAATGTGAGACCAGAATTTCCAGAGAATGAATATAGATATTATGACGTCAACCTAAATGACATATCGGTAGAAACAAACGAAGATGTATTGCTCAGTCATGAAGAGATCACAACTAAATTATATAGGCTATTTTTATTGCTAGACTCCAATATTGGTTCAGAAGTATGGTCACCTGAAAATGAACACCAAAAGCAATCATTAACTCAATTTGGTCCATTTTCCTTCAGTTTTTCTAACGACACTAATAACAACAATAACAGAAACTTAAATATTGCACTGTTTGCCACATTGATTGAAACTATTCCCTGTTGTGTCGTAGTGTCTGGTAAAATACCTTTTAAATCGGCAATTGAAATTCTTTCTAGAAATGCTGTTCATGCGGATCTATTAATAGCAACCAGTTCTCAAAATGCTCTAAAAGCACTGGCCACTAAAGAAAATCCATATGCTTTAATTACTTGGTTTGCCAAATACTCATTTGATTTTGATGAGAAAACTCAATCAAGATATAATCTATCATATTTAACCTCTAATGAATACAAACGATTATTAGTACTATACGTCGAACTACTCGGCTGCTGGATAGAAGAATTTCAATCGTCAAAAAATGAGGAAAAAATTAAAGAAACAGGATTAGATGGTATCCACTTACCACTACCAGAAGTTGATGTGGATGATGCCAATGAGGCACATCTTTTACAATGGAAAAACACTGCTGCTGTAATTGAAGAAGTGGAAGGGAATGGTTTATTTTTTCTGTGTGCAAACGATTCTGGCGTCCGTATGCTGGCAATAAGGATTTTAAGAATAATATCAAAGTTTGATGAAGTTATGGTTCAAAAGACATCATCATTACAAAAAGGCCATTCGCGTTCATCATCTCATTTTGCCGCCGACCGCGGCACCAGACTAATAGATCTGTTGAATAATGCAGATGTCTCATCTTTAATTTATATCCCAAATGGTACGTTAAATACTACAGAAAGCTCAAGATTGTCCAAATTAACACTAAAGTTTAGAAAAGGACTATTGATAAAGTTGGCAGAATCAGAATATAGTGTCGACACCGCATTATGGATGCGAGCTTTTCCAAAACTTCTTAGCCAGATTTTTATCGATTGTCCGGTAACTATGGCCTTATGTAGGTCTATTGTTTGCGTTCGTCTAGTACAAATGCATGATACAATACTTAAGATTGCGAACGATCCATCATTTAGACCAGATGATGCTTCTCCTGAAATTGTAACAGAACAATGGAAAATCTACCTAATTGTAGCGTGCACCTTTTTAACTTCGACAAACAATCAAAGATTATTAATCCCCCCATCAAATGTTTCAACAGGGAAAAAGAAGAGCCAGCAAATATTTACTGTACAACATCAGAAAATCAAATCTGCTACATCTATATTTAAAATGGTTCTGCCATTATTGAATTCAAAGTCGTCACTAATTAAGGATTCTATTATTATAGGGTTAAGTTCAATGAATGTCAATATTTATCGAGCTTATATCGAGAGTGTGACGAAATCGTTGACCAATTGGAAAGATAACTATAACAATCAGATGAAATCTGAATTATTTCAAATTTTATCAATTCTTTCAAAATTTTTAAAGGAACCAGTTGTTTTTGGAGATAAATGGATATTTGAAAGGCTATCTGAGTTTTTGAAGTCGGTAAAACAATTTTTACAAGATGATTCAATCCAATATTCTTATGAATACCAACCTCTAAGAATATATTTTACGGAGTTACTATTGTCATACTACAATGTAGTTAAAGATCACGAGGATGTTAAACAACTATTCCCATTTCAGGCTAGAACTTCCTGTTTTAATTTTTTAAAGGAATGGTGCGGCTATGGAGAACATGCATATATTGGCGAGAACCGATATTCAGCAATGGTACAACGAGCAGAAAATTCAACACATAAAGCGGCTATAATGAGTGGTATTGAAATTCAGAAAGGTAAGCTAGAACATATAGCTTTGGAAACCATGGTTGCATTATGTTCAAGCCCAATAGTAGATTCCGTGTCTTCATCACCAGATCTACAATTGATGGTATCATTTGATACCAGTGGTTTGCTATCTTGGATAGAATCATTATTCGCATCGGATTTAAAATCAATCAATAAGCTAGGTGTTTGTGCTCTTGAAGGTATTCTAGAAAGTAACAAGGACAACGTCAAACTTTACAAAGAAGTGTTGTCCAAATGCTTAAATGAGAAAATTGAAATGACTGTTTCAATATTTTATTACACAACTTTATGCAAGTCGTTACTAAGGATGGACACATTATTACTAGAAGAACATGAATTAGCTTCATTGGGTTTGTTAGGGATAATTGCGGATGAAGAAGAAATTAGAAGTTATGCAGTCGAGTTATTATCTGCTGTTGAAACAAAAATACACAATTCTTCATTTACAAAAGTTTTCAAAGAAAGATTATCAAACTCATCAAAGATGGTTTTTAAATCAACAGCAAAAGAAATTTCTAGCATGTATGCAGAACTGTTATCAGCAGATTTATGTATGACAATTTTTTCGAATATTGTCAAAACTATTGATGTGTTTTCGTTAGAATCGAAAAAAGATATTTTGACTCTTTTAGTGCCATGGGTCAATAAGCTGACTGTAAAGGGAATAGATGATTTCGATACAATAATGATATTACAAAACATGTTTTATCTTACCATAAAATTGAATGATTCCCTTCCAGAAAACATCGAGCAACTATGGATCTCTTTTGGAAAGGGTAATTCATTTCAAAACATTCCTGTGACTCTAGATTACATTATCACTTCATCCATTGTCCACAGAAATCCAATATTTGTTCAGTATTCTAGGGATGTAGTTTTATATTTGTCCCATGTTCCTGGAAGTATTGGCTTAATTGATTCGTTACTAGATAACCTTCAACCGAAATCAATGATTCCTACAACAACCTTAGATATAGCAGAAGCCTCAGACAATGGTAAATATTCATTTGTTGCAGATATATGGGATCTATTGGATTACACAGGAGGTGGTGTTATCTTTTCGAAGGCTCAACTTTCAATAATTTTTTTGGCTAGCTTATTAGCTACTGCCCATGACTCTGTTTTGAATCGTGTACCGACATTACTTCATGTAGCGGTTTGTCTTTTAGATCATTATGTGCCACTAATTCAAGAAAGTGCTTCCAGGATAGTCTGTGACTTGATATTTAGTTTGGCTCCAGTCAAAGATGAATCAGAGAAAGCAGTTGGATTACTTAGAGATAAAAATATGCTTTGGTCCTATGACAATTTAATTAGGGATAAATCAGGAGCTAGATCGCCCAAGAAGATGGATTTGCTGATTAGACATCTCATTTCAATATTTTCTGGAATTGAATCACTTCAAATCGATTGGCAAAGAATAGCATTAAAATGGGCAACTACTTGCTCAGTAAGACATGTAGCTTGCCGCTCATTCCAAATTTTTAGATCCTTATTAACGTTTATCGACCAAGATATGTTACGTGATATGATCCATAGATTATCGAACACAATTGCCGATGAGAATACAGATATTCAGGGCTTTGCAATGCAAATTTTGATGACTTTAAATGCTATTACAGCAGAATTAGAGCCGGCAAATTTAATAGATTTCCCTCAATTATTTTGGTCAATAACTGCATGCTTAAATAGTGTCCATGAACTGGAATTCATCGAAGTGTTATCATGCTTTTCCAAGTTTATATCCAAAATTGATTTAGATTCACCAGACACTGTTCAATGTTTAGTTGCAATATTTCCATCAAACTGGGAGGGGAGATTTGATGGGTTGCAACAAATTGTGATGACTGGTTTACGTTCGTCAAATTCTATGGATATAACATGGAAATTTTTAGACAAATTAAATTTATTGAAAAATAGCAGAATCATTGCTAATTCAGAGTCTAGGCTATTATTTGCTTTAGTAGCCAATCTTCCAAGGTTTTTGAATGCCATGGATAACGAAGATTTTACAAACATATTGGATGCTTGTGAGTCATTAATTTCTTTAGCTAATGCTAATGAACAACCGTCTTTGGCAAGAGTTGTCGATTCATTATCCAAAAACAAATTTAGATCAAAACGTGATTTCTTAAGTCAGATAGTTAATTTTATTACAAGGAATTACTTTCCAAAATATACAGCTCAAACAATAGTTTTCTTATTGGGCTTACTGTTGAATAGGACCAGTTGGATTAAACTTCAAACTATGAAAATCTTGAAGTACATTCTACCTTTAGTTGATTTCAATTTGCCAGAATTCACTGGTGTTGGTGCAGATTTAATATCACCTTTGTTAAGACTATTACTTACGGAATATGAGACCCAAGCTCTTGAAGTTTTAGACTGTATTCCAAATATTTCAGGTAGCAAAATGGATAAGGATGTGTTAAGAATTAGTATGGGTAACAAAGACCTCAAAAATGGAACCAATGCAGCAACTACTATATTTGGTATTCCTGAAGATAGTGGATGGTCTGTTCCAATGCCAGGTATGACAGCCGCCACCACTAGGCATAATGTACATGCCGTGTTTACTACATTTGCTAGAGAAACCGATGAAGCTGAAGTTTCCCAAGATCCACCTCATTTAGAGGATATTGTAGAATTTCATGTAGAAAATGATTACAATTTGCGTCCAATGGATACAAGTGAAACAATATCAATAGCTGAAGAAAATGATGCTTCCTTAAGTCATATGTGGGCTGAATTAGATAATTTAGACAGTTTTTTCACCAAGAACACTATGAATACAATGGTTGGATCTGTTCCTCAAAATGGAATAGACTCTGTCTATGGTTTTAACCATGATAGATCTGCTTCTATGGATACTACAAAATCAACTCAAACTTCTACTTTAGATTCTGCACCACAGCTATATGATAAAAAAGTTTCAGCGATATTAAATAGAAGTCTAATGAGAACTCCTTCCAGCGTTTCCTTCAAGACTAGTCTTGTTGATTCTTTTACAGCTGATAAAAGCGCGGAAACAGGAATTCCTGAGTCTTTATATTCAAGAAGTCCGATGCGTAATCAAGCTGCTGTAACTCCTGACTTAAATGCTGTTCGTTCCAGAACATCCCAACTATTGAAGTCACCTAATTCAGCATTGTTATCATCATCTAAATCAAGACCATCAGACTCTCCTCAAGATACTCTATTTAGATTTGAAGGATTCTCAGGCGCTACTCAAAGAAATAGAAGAAAATGGCAATATCATCAACAACATCAACAATTAATGTCACAAACAATTCATGAACAATCATCACCTTTACAATATGAATCAGACTCTACTGCATTAAGAATAGCATCTTCCTCACCTTCACTAGGATTGAGCGCTCCATATCCCTATGGAAGTCCAATCAGTATTACAAAAAGTAACAAGGAACAAACGAAACAAGGACGCTCTCAAAAACATTATCATTTACCACATTTTTCATCGAACAAAGCTCAAAACAAATTAAGCAGTGAGAAATGAATTTTATCAAATTGTTATTATAGATTTTAATTAAAGATATTATCAGTAATAAATATTCATTATAGTACTAGATAGTGGAAAATTTTTTGTAATTTTTAAAGCATAACTTAATAATACATATTCCTAAAAAATATGTACTATTTAAATTGCCAGATTTCATAATATTTTAAAGTTTTAAACTATCTACAAATAAAAAACATTCATTATTTGCAATTTGTGGTCTAGTTGATCTTATCTCATCTCATCTCATCTCATCTCGTCTCATCTCAAGTTCACTACTAATCTCTTGTTACTACCTAACTTCTTAGACAATGCGTGAAATTTCTATTTTCGTACATTGTCCCTTTTTATAATTGGAATCGATGAAAAACGCCAAAATTCCCTTTATTGACATTTAAATCAAGCGATGAACTACCTATTCGAATAAAATGAAGCCAATTGTACAATACCAATTTTAATTAAATAGATTATTATTTTAATTTGGTTATTATACTTTAAATCAATTACCTTGTGATAACGGGCAGAGTTTATTTGTGAAGTTGTTGATGATCGTGATACCTTGTGAAGAGGGTACAGTATGAGTTTTCAAGATAAAGATGAGAAACTAATAAAATCAATTGAATTTAACAGATACTCACAGGTACAGCAGCAATATTTTATACAAGCTATTACTTCAGTGCTATATAAACCTGAGTACAATACTGTTGTTTCAAGAGAATATGCAAACGAAAAAAACCAAGATATACAAGTTCAAGCATACGCTAAGTTATCAGGAGTTGATTGGACTTATTATGTAAAGCATGTAGAAATTTTAATTGGTAGAAATATCAATTTAGATGGTAATTCACAAAAGAAGGATGATGATCAAAATTCCACATCATCTATCACTATAGATTTAGGTCCTTCAAAAGTTGTATCAAGAAAGCATGCTTCTATTAGTTTTAACATGCAGACGGGAAATTGGGAGTTTAGTGTGCTTGGTAGAAATGGTGCCAAAGTTAATTTCCAAAAATTATCTATCAATTCACCACCATATGCATTATATTCAGGCTCAATAGTAGAAATTGGTGGTACACAAATGATATTTATTTTACCTGATCGTACACCGTATATCTCAAAACGTTGTATTGAAAAATTTCTACCACAGCTTGTTGAAAAATATGGCGAATTATTTAATTCAAAAGACAGATCAAAAGTAAATGATGATCATATTTTACTGACAGATGTAATTAAAGATTCAGCAATATCATCAACAGAATTTGAAAACTTGAGTACTCCTTCCGATAAAGAAGGAAGCAAATCGAAGTCCCCACCATTACGCCAACAAAAACAGCAACAGCAGCAGCAACAACAGCAACAGATCATCACTTTCAAAATGTATGGAAGCGAAAATAGTAAACTTGCAAGCAATAAAGTTTACAAAAAGTCAATTCAAGGTAATAGGCTAAAAAGCAACCAAGGAAATATTTTATCCGCGCCTAGCATGCCAATTCCTATTAAATCTTCTGGTGGCGGTGACAACAAGATTAAGCATAGGTTTGTAGACTCTCATGGCTATGAGACTCGAATTGAAAATAGCATAAGTTCGGAATTTCCACAAACCATTGATTTCGCATCTGATTTATCAAATGATGAGAATAAAAATATTAAACCTGCGCATTCATATGCCACATTAATCACTCAGGCTATATTATCATCTGGAGATGGTCAAATTTCGCTATCTGATATATACTCACATATATCCACTAATTATGCATATTATCGTCATGCAAATACAAGTTGGCAGAATTCGATACGACACAATTTATCTCTAAATAAGGCCTTTGAGAAAGTCCCAAGAGCTGCTAACGAACCTGGTAAAGGTATGAAATGGAGAATAAGCAAGGATTACGAGGAAGAATTTTTGAAAAAATGGCAATCAGGAAGAAACTCCAAGCTAATTCGGAAAGGAACTTCAGTTGCGAGACAACTTCAAATTCATATGTCTAAATATAATAAGCTACCATCTCAAGAAGTCAAAAAGGAAAACTCCAGCATTATTATGAAGACAAATTCTCCGTCTGACAAATCTGCTGCTTCTAAATTATTATTACAAGCCGATAGAATAGATCCTAATTTATCAGAGACTTCTCAAACGCAAACACCTTACGAACGTATAAATGTCCCTAGGATTATTGCAAATGATGATGCTAACACGTTATTGTCCTTTAAGAATAACTCTAATAATTTTAGTAAACCCCAAATGGACTCTGCTATGACAACGCCTGGAGGAGGTTTAGGACAATCAACTTCCAAAGAAAATTTGTTTGTATTTAATTCAAATATAATGAATATCAATTTGCCTAAACCAGTGATCAAAATTCCGAAGCATGGTTCGGCTGTTCATAATATCCCCTTTCATACAAATTTGCCAACACTCTCACCAACCAATGACGATATGACGAGGTCCCCAGCAAGAGGATTTCAAATTAGTGCAGTTGAAGCATATACCCCTGAAAGAGGTAGTGGAAATTACAACAATTCGCCAAGACACTTACCATTAACCTCTACGAATAGGAACCTAAGTAAGTCGAGACGTAGTTCACCAAAAGGTATTAATTTTCATTCCACTGATAAATTTGAACTTGCAAAGCTAACACCAAACAATAACAGTAAGAATTCCTTTTTATTCTTTGGAAGTAATAAATCACAAAGAATATTAAGTTCGCCTAGTGTCTGGAATCTAGTACAGTTGACGTCAGGTCATGATGTTCAAGGTTTAACACAAGATATCGAAAAGAACAAAATGGAAGAAACAAAAAAGAAATTACCACAGAATGATAGCGATGATGGATGTGGCTTGCCTGATTTTGCATCTTCGCCGTTAAAACGTCAAAGTAAGCTAAATGTGCCTAAATTGAAAACGAGCGAAGCATTAATAATTGATCCAGAAAATTCTGAGATTTTATTACCTAGTAAATAAAACAATTATAATTTTCTTTATAAACATATATGTATTTTATGACCAACACATTTCCCCCACCACAACTATTACTGATAACATAAATAGAGACGTCAACAATCTAGTCTATAACCAACTAATATTTACTGTCGTCATTGTGTTTTTCTTAATTTTTGAGTTAGATTCACAATTTTTGAGTTAGATTCACAATTTTTATTAAATGATCTTTAAAGGCATCGCGAAAGTTTCATTTAGAAAAAACCTTAAAATTTAAGAATATAAAATCAAAGCAGAGTAGTAAAGGCGTTTAAAAAAGCATGTATCTATGATACCTTGAACTTGAAGTAGACACCGGTAGTAACTAGTACAAAGTGGCGAATGGAAGGAACTTTTGATGACTTTCCATTGTTGACGGTATGGGGATCGCCATCATCTTTAGAAATAGCTAAATTAATCTCTACAACATTAAATGCTCAAATTGAAAATAATACACCATTGCAATTGTACTATATCGATGCAACAAATTCATTTCCGTTGACCCAATTTCAAAAATTGGTACCTGTCAATGAGGATAATAAACGTATATATGATTATATAAGAATAATGACCTGCTTAGATCTATATGAATTGAATAGAATAACTAACAAGATGTTACAGTTAATAAGTATTGATAAAATACAGAAGAAACAAAATATAAAACATAGAAACAAAGAACCGGATTCATTGCATAATACATATGGAATACTTGTATTTATTAACGGTTTAGAAGTCATGTTTAGAAATACACAGATGAAGGAATCTCAAGAACGTACTCATTTATTTCTTAGAGATATCCTATTAAGAATAAGAGCCATAGCTAATCAACCCAAGGATGATAATTCAATAGAATTACGTTCTATAGTGACATTCCCTTCTAACGAGTTGAATAAATCCCTTAATAAGTCAAGTGACAATCCAGCAAAGAGACCTAAATCTATTAATTTAATTAAAGGTAATACCATTGCTGAATATGTCACTAAATTCTATTCAGATCGATTGGTCTCGTGATCTAATACGTTCAGTTTTCCTATTCCTTCAAAAAAGGAAATAAGGTAAAAAAAGATAATTCTAAGTGACTGTGTCTGATTCTCCAAACTCCATACACCCTGTAACCAAATACTTACACACGCACACCGCGAAATATTTTTGAAATATCACGTTTTTTCTGTACAACCTTGTCGTCTTCATCTTTTTCCTCTCCTTAGAAGAAAATTGAAAACGAGAAACTGAAGGACATGGGTTCGGAGATCGCGCGTTTTGGATTTGAAAGTACTAAGAGGAAAAGAGAGAATATAGCTACTAGCTAGTTAGTCTTTTCTAGAAGGACAATAATTTGGAGCCTCCTATCAAATCTCTTGCTAGACAGGAAATTGTTCACGTTCAAAGTTTCGCTCGCATGCCGTTCGATTCTCATCGCAGAACCGAAGAACTGGTGGGTGGCAGTGGATGTCAGTCCAATAAGTAACATCATTGAATTGAATTGAATTGATTTCCTCGATAAGCAAGCGACTCACTCACTCGAAATTTCAAACTAGAGAAGATAGGCATCGCCTTTACTGCAACTTTGGAAAAGTTTCAGTGAAACTTTTTGTCTTGTTAATGATCGTGGGTAGAAGGTATCTACCTAACTATCCCATCGAATTGATGGTAATGGACTAAGGCATTGACAAAGTCTTTGGTTAGGTTAATCTTGCCTATCTCACTAGGTTCTCGATATCCAGTTGTTCCTTTAGGTTTGGGTTTCCTAATAATTCATCAATTGAATTGAGCATTGTTAGGTTAATTGTGAAATATTGATATCCCATCTTGGTGTTGCTAGATGGAATTGTCAGTAGTTTTGGTGGTTGGTAGCTGGTATCTTCAATCTTGATTGAGCTTAGTTTATGATAGCTCAGGTTTGATATCACGAACCTTGGAGGAATCTGTTAGAGGATAGTCTAATTGTCCGTAATGTTAGCTTGATGTAGAGTCTATTGATTTCATTAAAAATCGTGGTATTAAGATATATATAAATATTGATTAGTATTATCAGCTGTTGAGGAAAGGTTTAAGGAAACAACAAACCAAGAGAGAGATGTCTACTTTCGAACCAGTCGTTGTCATTGATGGTACGTACTAGTTATTATTTCAAAAAGATAAAAACATAAGCAAACTGCTTATATATATCGTTGATAAGATATTGCCAAATGATAGAATAATATGTAATGAAAATATAATGTTGAAACACCCAACTGATAATTATGATATATAATGTTACCTGTTCCATTTAATTTAAGAGAAAATTATTTTGTAATGATTAACCATATAAGACCTACATTATGTTATGAATCGGATTACATTAGATACATATATTGGACAAGTGTATACTAGGTGATAATTATATTTGGATAGTATTGGAATGATCCAACATATTATTATGACTAAATTACTCTGTTGATTAATATGAATCAAATTATTTCAGTATTAGATATTAAGAAGAAAAATATAGATAGAGCATTATTAGGAGTGATAATATACAGGATAACCGGATAAAATATAGTATAAATCATTTGAAGAGATATTTCAATATGTATATTTTCATTGTTCTCAATTGTTTGAATATATGAATGAATGTTTACTAACTTTTATATTTTATTATTTTTTTAATAGGTAAGGGCCATTTGGTCGGTCGTTTGGCCTCCACTGTTGCTAAGCAATTGTTGAATGGTCAAAAAATCGTCGTCGTCAGAGCTGAAGCTTTAAACATCTCTGGTGAATTCTTCAGAAACAAGTTGAAGTACCACGACTACTTGAGAAAAGCTACTGCTTTCAACAAAACCCGTGGTCCATTCCACTTCAGAGCCCCATCTAGAATCTTCTACAAGGCTGTCCGTGGTATGGTTTCTCACAAGACTGCTCGTGGTAAGGCTGCTATGGAAAGATTAAAGGTCTTTGAAGGTGTTCCACCACCATACGACAAGAAGAAGAGAGTCGTTGTTCCACAAGCTTTGAGAGTTTTGAGATTGAAGCCAGGTAGAAAATACACTACTTTGGGTAAATTATCTACTTCCGTTGGTTGGAAATACGAAGACGTTGTCGCCAAATTGGAAGAAAAGAGAAAGGTCAGATCTGCTGAATACTATGCCAAGAAGAAGGCTTTCAACAAGAAGGTCGCTTCTGCTACTGCTGCTGCCGCTGAATCCGAAGCTGCTAAGAAATTGGCTACTTTTGGTTACTAAATAAATTGATATCAAGATCATAACGAATATTAATAAATGTATTTTTTATCTTTTCTGTATATCAACATAATTAATAAACAATAAACAAGAAATATTAAACAATCCTTTTTTATACCCTACAATCTGTTTAATTATTTGAATTACCTTGCAAATTATCACTAATAGTTCAATTTGACATTAAAATATTACAATATTATACTATTATAATTTTCATAGATTAAATTAGATAGATTATATACAGAATAAAGTTGTTACATGTTTATTATTACCACGGTGTGGTAAAGTGATGCCAAACAACTTATAATAATAATTGATTAAAACAATTATTTAAATACAAGTGGATGCTTCATATACTTAATTACCTATACAGAAAAGATAAAACAAAAAAGAGGATCCAAAAATAATCCTAATATTGATTATTCAAAGTAATATGGTTTAAACACTTGGTAATGGGGACAATAAATTGAACAAATTTGGCTTGTTAGCAGTATGAGTCCAACCCAAATATAAAATAAATGGAATCCAGCCATAATGAGCAATAGTGTGGGTCATATTCCAAACTTTGGAAATACGTTCTTTAGATTCGTCACTTAAAATGTAGGATGGTAATGAGATCATTGTATTTATGGCTGTTGGTTGGAACTTATTGAAGCTTTCTAGACTACAAAATCCCCTTTAAATATGTTTAATTCAATTCTAGTCCAGTTTAAATCAACTTTAATTATCCTTCTTTAAATTGTCAAATTCTCATTCGAATCTTATCATACAAATATCCGTATTAAGTGATGAATATACATAGTGCATAATGAAATCATAGGACTATCAAGGCAGAACTTACTTGAAATAACACCAATTCTTGATTAACAACCTTCAGCATTTCAAAAATTATATATCTATACTTTTATGTTATCATTATAAATTACAGTAATGCTTATCAACAATTTCAATTTTTCCAAATTGATACTTGTTTATAGTTTTGGGAGAAAATATGCTGACATCTCAATAGTTTTATAGAAACCAATTGTCCAAAGTTATCACCTTTTTTTTATTATCTGTCTTTGGTTTAGTCCATTGTTTGGACATATTTTTTTTTGAATTTATGTAGTCTTCCTCCCATTCAATTGGGACCATACCAATTTTATGCTTATCTTCTTTAATTAAAGTTTGACAAGTTTGCCAGGAAAATCTGACGAGACTTTGAGGCCATGCGAACAATTGCTTCTGATTCTTTGCTAACCATGCAGTAGTCTTGGGATCTGAAGGATATCCAGAACCCAAAATTTCATTTTCATTACTTTTCATTTGCTCCAAAATAATATCTCTAGTAACTTTAGCGACGACACTCGCCACACTGACAACACAATATAAAGAATCAGCTTTTTTGGCAACCGTGAATTTAATGTTAGGGAATCTAGTTTCCAGTTTCTTTTGATAAGAAACAGGTGGTCCAACGGTGTCGACATATACATGATCAATTGTAACACCTTTTTCTACTAACCCTTGTATTAAATTCATAGTAACGTCATGGGCTTGTTCATTTAAGTTATAATTTTGAGAAGGTGGATATCTTAACATACCACTTGAAATATCAACAGGCGTGATTGCAGTTGTAGCATATCCCACTCCATCAATCTCAATTTCACCAGTTCCATCGCCATTTTGATCATACATTTTACTGAATAAATTTCTACGTATATTGTCTGTCAATTTCTTAGAATCATCAAATGCATATTTTGGAATTAAAACTGTATCCTGATACTCCTTTGTACAATAGCTAATACCATATACCATAGGGCCCATTACTGGACCACGTCCAGCTTCATCTACACCAAGAATCACTGGCGATGAGGAAACACCATTCTTAATAACTTCCGGGATCTCTGAATAGTAAGTTTTGGTATGAAGTGTACCAAGAGATGTTAATACTGTTGGAGGTAAGGAAACCATTCTTGATATGCTCTTATCTCAGATAACTTGTCTGTACTTCCCAACTTTCGCAAAAATACAGTACAATGCTTCTATTTAATCAACTTTACCATAGTATTAATGTTCTTTTAACGTGTATGTATATTAAATAATTGGATCAATTTACGCGTAGCGATGCCTTTTAGATTATTAAGATTAAATATGAAACAATAGCGACAGAGGAAACTAGAAGAAAATACAATTTATACAAAACAATCAAAAATGGGGTCAAGTATGTCATTATAGATATTTAATGCATATTTACAAGTATAAAAATCTACTTAAAAGTCGATACCCAATTTTTTTGTTATTTTCTTGGAAAGCTTGTTTCCCTGTCGGTTGTGAATCTCAACTATAAGATGATTTTCGAATGACTATTGTCTATTTACAGCGTCAATACAACCAAATGAGAGGACTTCATCAATACGTTGCTTATTCAAAAGTAACATACATAGTCTATCGATTCCCAAACCCAGGCCACCAATTGGGGGCATCCCCCATTTCATTGCCTCTATATACTGACTATCTATCGATAACGCTTCTGTATCATTGAAGTTTTCATTAACGAACTTTTGGTTTAAGAACTTTTGCTCTTGTTCTTGAGGACAGTTCTCTTCTTCGTATGCGTTAATATACTCTTTCCCATTTATATATAGTTCGAATCTTTTTGAAATAATCGGATTTGCTGGATTAGATTTTGCCAATGGTGACATTACAGTGGGATGATGGTATATTAAAGTGGGTAACAAAGAGTTACAATATCTCGATTCGATATAGTAAGATGAGAGTTTGTCCAAAATTTGTTGTGAAGATATTTTGAACCCTTCTTCTGAAGAAGCAGGCAATATTTTATTTCTGGCGTCTGATGGTATTGAATTTAATAAAGAAATTGAATCGTTTAAATCAAATTTTGTGTAATCGATTCCGTTATTAATTTCCTTTGTGAGAGTTGGCAAGAAATCAACACGGTTGAATTTCCAGTTATTGTTTGAAAGTTCATTAATTAGTTTTGAAGTAACTTCCTTTGCATCTCCATGAATTAGTTTAGAATCATTCAAGTTTAACAAAATGAATTTGAATAAATCTTGAGATTGATTAATTAGGTCCTCTAGACTTGCATAAGATTGATAGAATTCCAGAGTTGTAAATTCTGGATTATGCGTTTGGTCAATACCTTCATTTCTAAAGACTTTACCAATTTCATAGACTCTGTCTAAACCACTGACGATTAATCTTTTCAGCCACAGCTCTGGAGATATTCTTAGAAATAGATTAGATTGTAATGGATCATGCTTCATTGATGATAATTTTGTTTCAAATGGTGTCGCATGAGCACCATTTGATTTGTTGGATAATATTGGAGTCTCAACTTCAATAAAGTTTTGGATATCCAAGAATGATCTTATTTGTTTAATAATGAAACTTCTCAGTATTAAGCTTGAAACACCATTAACTTGATAATCTACTACTCTATTATTTTTAATTTTATTATGATCTGCTAATTTTGGAGGTAATGGTAATTGAGCAGTTGATAAAAATTTTGGTAATTGATTACATTTTAAAGATAAATTTTTTTGATGTGATTGAGACAAACCAGGATAACCAATTGAATGAATGTAGTCACCTACTTTGTACAGGTTGATATTTTTAGTGAAAATTTCATTTGTTAGATTATTTTGATTAAATTTTGAGATTATATTGAAGTTTATAATTAATTGCAAAACTTGATCGTTTCTATTACTGTCATACAAATCTATAAAGCAAATTTTTTTACCAGAATATCTTATATTTTTGATTCTCCCATTAATTGATACTATATCGTTAGTAGAATCCTCATTAATATTTGAATAATCCAATTGGAATTGATTGATACTTTTTGCCTTTATACCAATATTACTATTATTAGTGTTATTGTTGATATCAGTCATTGATGGATAGAACAGATTTAAATTTTTTAAAATAGAATCATTACGTTTAGTGAATTCTACTGTACTGGGATCTATTATAATTTTTTTACTTGCATTGTTGGACAAGAGTCTTTTAATGGTATAGCTAGCGGTATATTTCGAAACAACAGTTTTCTTTAGCATAATTGAGCACCATATAGTAATGAATGAGGGTTTATAGGGTGAGAAGAGAGAGAATTAGTGTTAGTTCAAAAGTATATTAAAATCCTGAGTGCATGATACTGGGGCAGTAGTGTTTATACAGCCGTTCAAAGACATATTGTATTTAATATTACAAGATGATTGATTTTAAAATAGTTTCTTTGGGATTGATCTTAAAGTGATAAGTTTTGATATTTAAAAAAAGAATTAAACTGTAGAATAGTAAGTTAATCATGTGATAGTCACATGATCAAGAGTTATATTCTTTCTCCAGGAAATACACAAAAAAAGAACAGAACAGAGCATAAATCACGTGGTTGCAGAGATATACATTGAAGTTTACTTATTAAGAATTAAGAATTAAGAATTAAGTAATTTGTATTTGTATTTGTATTTGTATTTGTCTATGTTGTTGCCATTGCTACTACTATTTCTTTTTTATTGTTCCAATTATCTCAGTTTGTTGCCGATTTTAGAATATAGTTTGTATATCTCAAGGAATATCTGGTACAGACAAGAGGAAGGGAACAGAGCTAAACAAGCTGAGATGGATAACGTGACCTACAGGAATGGTATGGTATAGTTTCTTCTTCTCCCCCCAAATTGTTCTCTCCGACCAGTGTTTTTGACCGTACACCACAGTTCCAAAGTACAACAATAATCTTGCTAAGAATAGTGCCAATGCCAATACCAATGCCAATTCCAGTCCTAGTGCTTACATTACTTGCCCAAAAGAGAAGAAGAACAAGAGCTGCCTGTCTTTGGCGGAATTGCGTACCACACAAACCAGACAACAAACGCAAGACAGAGTTCCGTACGGCCAGAGGTCAGCATCAGTGTAGAAATAAGGGATAACCACAAAACGACAAGAACTATCCCCCAACAAGAGCTCCCAGCCACCCCCGTGGACGACACCGACACCCTGCCCACACACGTTTAATGCCGCAGATACAAAAGGAGGAAAAAGCTTATTCCGGAAAAAAGAAAACACCACTCGAAATCAAAGAGACAAACAAGGGCACGAGCACGATCATAACTATATCGTATCACACGGCATTCGTGTTATAAATATTTCCGTGACAGTTTCATCGTTTAACAATAGGTGTTTCAGAAATGCCTCATATTACGTTGTCTTGTCTTGTCTTGTCTTGCTGTCCCCGTGCGCACCTTACCTTCTCACAAACCGTGGTCATTCCGAATCCAACAAACTGCCCTCCCCACCCCCAAGAACAAACGCGCAGCCACAAGACGTAATATCTAGTTCTGTCGAGTTCAATCCTCACCATAAGTACACAAACACAAACACAAACACACCCAGTTTGAATCAAAAGCAGAAACAGAATCTTACTATTGTTTATTCCTATCATCATCATCCTTTTCTTCTTCGTTAGATTCAGTTCTATCCATTTCGATCCTCTTTGGTAAGGCAACATGACCTGTGTCGGTAAAAACATAATAAGAGATACCATCTACGTACGCTGTACCACATTGTAACTGTAACTGCAACTGCAACTGCACTTGACTCTCCCAACAGAGGCTTGTATAGCTCTCTCGATTCCTTTCGAAATGAAATAGCGTCCTTTAGCAGCAATTATATCCTATTTCAACATACTCAGATCCATCTTGGGTGTGTGTTTTAGTTATTGATCACAAATTTAGCAAAGTATGGTATAATCTCTCTCTCTCTCTCTCACCATGAAATAATCCAAATTGTTGCTTTTGACGTATTTAGTTTTTCCTTGCGGTACTCAAACTGCCGTACCACTCCATCGATATCTACTTAACTCACACATTTTCGCTCTGGTTCTCACTATACTGCTCACTGTTTTACTTCTTTTGTTTTTTTTTCTCCGACTACATAAATCCTCTGCTCTGCTTCCTCGAAACCGCAAACTGCAAACTGCAAAATAAGAAATCAAGATCCTAATGATCAGTATCTTTCTGTAATATCTTGCATCTTGCTTGTACTTGCAACTGCTATCCTATCTTCTCTCTCACCTCTTTTCCTCATACCATTTCAAGAAAGGTTCAACATTAATTAATACCAGCAAAAATTAAAATATTAATTAAACACTACTATTTTCGGTTTGCCTACTTTCATACTTTCATACTTTCCTACCTCCTGCTTTGTTTCTTCTCGGTTTTCTTTTTCATTACTAATTAAACTGATTCCGAGNAGAGTTTCGAGAGTTTCGAGAAATTCAAGACTTATCTAACTCCCCTATCCAAATTTACATGGCTTCATCCTCTTTCAATCAATGGAAGCTGGCTCCAACCTTGGTTCTACCTTTCCTCGAAATTTATCCTCCTAAAAATTTTTCTCTTTTTTGTACCGGATGCTTACCAAAAACCCCAATATATAAAAACCAATCCTTGTGAAAAGAAATCCCTTTGATATAAAAAAAGAGC